GTACCGGGGATCAAACTCAGGTCCTTGGGCTTGCAAGGCAGGTGGCAGAACCACTGAGCTAAATCCCCGGCCCCTATTATTGTTATTATTATTATTTGCAGCACTACCATTAAGCTATATCCACAGTCTTTTATTTTTTTTAATTATGTCTTAGACAGGGCCTCACCAAGTTGCCCAAGCTGGCCCTGAATTTGCAATATTCCTGCCCCAGGCTCCAGAGTAGCTGGGATTCCAGGTGTGCACCACTGCACCTAGCACAAATGCCATTCTTTACAGAAAAATTTTAAAGTATTCTCTGTAAGACTGGTGTGCCAGCCAGCCTCACAGTGGCCCCTTGGCATCAATATCCACAAGGAGCCCTGTCTCATACTCAGTCAGTGACTCTGTGTAACCAACTGAACCCCATGTGGGTGATGAGATGTGGACTCCAAGACTGGGTCATAAAAGAGAGACTAAAAGACTGGGTCATCTTTCTCTGACCTGGACCACTTTCTCCGATCAGTCACTTTGAGGGAAGCTAACCACCATGTCATGAAGTCACTCAAGCAACCCTAGGGAGGGGCTGATGTGGTAGGGAGTGGAGGCCTTGTGCCAACCACCATGCGAGTGTGACATCTTGGAAGCAGACCTTCCATCCTCTATCAACCCTTCAGACAACTGTGTCCCAACAACAGTCTGACAGCAACCTCAGGAGACTCTCCCAATCAGAACCACTCAGCAGAGCACAGAACAGGCACAGTCCCAGCTACTCAAGAGGCTGAGGCAGGAGGGTCACCTGAGCTCAGGAGGAGTTAAAGGCCAGCCTGGACAACATATCAAGACCCCATCTCTTAAAAAAAAAAATATATATATATATATATACACACACACACACACACACACATACATACATACATCTACCACAAAGTCACAATAATAAAGTTTGTCCCCAAAACAGACCAATAAACCAATGGAGTTGAAATGGAAGTAGAGAGGTCCTGTAGATATAGGAACTTATAAACGATAAAGGGCCACTAGAAGTCAGGGGGGAAAACAGACAATTCTGTAGAAAGGCTTTAGAAAACTAGATCAATGTATGGAAAAAATAAACTGGGCCACAATTTATATCACTTTCAAAGTCTCCAGATGGATCCAGGTCTGAAATCTGGAAAGTAAAATTAGAACATTAACAGAAGAAAATGCAAGACAATGTTTCTGTGATGCCAGAGTAGGGGAAACCTCCTAAGCAATACTGCAAAATCATGAAATGAAAAACTGATGGCTTTAATTTAGTAAAAATTTGTTCAATTGCTGACACTGTAAGTTTAACAAACCAGTGGAGAAAAAGGAAGGGAGGGGAGCAGGAAGGAATGAAAAAAGAATTAAAATGTGTTATATTTCTGGGTGTGGTGGTGTGCACCTGTATTCCCAGAACTTGGGAGGCTGAGGCAGGAGGATTGCTGTGAGTTCAAGGCCAGGCTTGGGCTACACAGTAAGACCCTGTCTCAAAAAAAAAAAAAAAAAAGGTGGGGGTGTAGCTCTGTGCAAAGACCCTAGGTTGGATTGCTGTACTGCCAAAGAAAAAAAAAAAAAAAAAAGTGTTATGTGATGAATGTAATCATTACGTACTGCAAACATGTACTAATAAAAATAAATTTAAAGAAAGAAAGAAACCCCTCAAAACGCAAAATTAAAATTAAAAAGAATGACTTTTACTCAAAAAAAAACCCCCAAAAGACAAATGAGAGATGTTTGGAATACAGAAAACTGACAAAGATCTACTTTTCAAAGCATACAATAAATTCCTGCAAATCAACTTGCAAAAGACAATCCAACAGAAAAACGGGAAGGTATATAAACAGCCAATTCACAGAGGAAGAAATCAAAGTTATCAAAAGTAGTTCAAACTCATTATTAATGAATGAAACCACCTGAGCTAACAGTTGATACCCATTAGACTGACAACAGGTGAGGCGTCAGGGATCACACGGGAGCACCCTGCTGACTCAGAAGAGCAGGGGTCTTGGCCCCTTCCCCCTGCCCCTGTGCTGAGCAGACCTGACCTCGGGCTCAAAGGGGAAACCTCCCAGTAGAGAAGGTGAGGTACGGGGTGGGGGAATAGGCCCAAGAGAGGTGAACTCGCAGTAACACTGACGCCCTTGGCAGGCAGAGGGCCACAGGGGCCACTCATCAGAAAAAGGAACTGGGTACAAAGTCTGGCTTTATTTTGGCATTTGAAGAGAGGTTGCAGGGAAGACTCCAGCTATGATCATACAAGGACTCACAGGCATCACAATATCTATGCATTCATGTTTCACTGTTACGGTTTCGATCTGAAATGTCCCCAAAAGCTCGTGTGTGGGAAGCTTGCTCCCCAGTGCAGCAGTGTTCTCTGGTGGGAGGAGACTGAATCACCAGGGCTCTCACCTCATCAGTGGGTTTTCTGTAGATAAACTCTCAGCTTAAGGAGTTACAGGAGGTGGCAGAAACGGTAGGAGGTGGGGCTTGGGTGGAAGAAGCAGGACAGTGGAGGATACCTTTGAGGAATGTATTTTGTCCCCAGCTCTCACTCTGTCTGTCCATTTTTCTGCCTCTCTCTGTCTCTGTCTCTCTCTCTGTCTCTCTATCCCTGTCTCCATTTGTCTCTGTCTCTGTTTCTGGTTTTCTCTGTCTCTCTCTCCCTGTGTTGGGGACAGTTCCTCTTCTCCCAAAAAGGACTCCTGCCAAGCACTCAGAGCCAACTTTGCTACCTTCCCTGTCCATTCCCAGTCTCATTTCTCAGGGAACTTGGAAGCCTTTGGAGATTTTCAGATTTCTTCTTAAACTTTTAGGGTTTTATATGAGGGAAATGGAAATGTTCACAGTACTAATTTTATTTATTTTAAAATGTGTAGCGACCTAGAACATACACCTTGAAAAAGTATACACATCACATCAGCCTACAGCTTGACAAATTTTCACAAACACAATGACTAAGAACACTGCCAGCACACCAGGGGCCCTCCCAGGCCCTCTTCTGAAGGTAACTACTCATCCTGTCCTGATTCCAACAATGGTAAATGGCTTTATGTGTTCTGACTCTAATGCACACAGAACCTTGTCATATACACTCTGTGTTTGACCTTTCTTGCTCAGTGTTACATTTGTGAGATTCACCAATTTTGGTGCACGTAGTTGGTCTGGTTCATTTTCATTTCTGTATAGTGCCCTGATGTATGAGCACCCCACAGTGCACTTGTCCTGTCTACTCTTACACGGGTGCTACATTGCTTCTATGCTATTAACACAGCGTAGACAGGACAATGAATATTCTCATGCACATCTTTTTTTTTTTTTTTGTACCAGGGATCAAACTCAGGACCTTGCGCTTGCGAGGCTGGCACAGTGACACTGAGCTACATCCCCGGCCTTCTCATGCACATTTTTAGAGAACATGTATACGTTTCCGCTCTGCATTTATGTAGAAGTGAGGTTGCTGGAAGGGCACATTCAGCCCCAGGAGATGCCGTCTAACAGGTTTTCTAAGAGGCTTGCCCAACACTCATTTTTATAGTATCCTTTTACTTGCTTGGTTCAAAGACATAATAGAACATATCCCATGTAAAACCTAAACTGCCCATAATAGGATCCCAAGGGGCCCTGGAGCAAAGAGGCATCAGAGATTTCTGGGCTTCTCCAGTAACAGCAGCTGCTGCTCAGATGCACAAACACATTTCAGAAGCCTGCCCTTGATGGTCGGCCCATGCAGCTCCTCACAGACCCTCCGACCATTCAAATGCTAGCAGTCAGGGAAACTCATCGACCTCCTTAAGCTGCCTGCTCCACAGCTCCAGTGCTTAAACCCTTTTCTCTGTCCTGGTCTGCCCTCTCTGTGACAGGCCTGAGTTCTAACTGTGGTACCCTATTCTACTCTTCGGGACCAAGCCAGTCACTGCCCCAGACGACATCCCTTCCTGCCGGCACTGCCCACATTCTTGGGATGCAGAGCTCAAGACATTTAGCCTGAAGCCAGCTCAGGGCTACAGAAAGACCTCCCTCTCTAGAGTCCTACAGTTCCTGGCCAAGAGATCAGGCTACTGGGGAAGAGCTGAGAAGCAGGCCACCCTTTCTCCTCTGCCACACCTGTTCACAGGGGCCAGTCAACTGACTTTCTCATCCCCTACCCGGGCCAGGCTCTACCTCCCTCCGTGTGAGGCTCCCTGTAGCAGAGTCTTAACAGACAGGGCCCCACCACCCCTGGGCCCCCAGTTCAGCGCACATCTTGCCAAGGGCTCACTTACTGACTCTATAGCCCAGGCCTTCTGCATGAATCCTCTTGGCCATGAATTGTCCTTCAATCAATGCTCGAATCTCCACATCCCCAGGGAATGCTGGGACCTGTTTCAGGAAAAGGGAGGCACAGTCAGGAATGACCACTGTCTATTTGAGCATGTGCACATGTGTGTGTGTGTGTGTGTGTGTGTGATATTTTCTTAAATGAAAGCCCAGATTTGGAACTCATGGCTGGCCTCTTCAACACACAACTCATATACACAAGTTCCCAGCTTTCACATCTGTACCACTTTGGGGAATCAGACACATTACAGAGCTCAGCCTCAGGCATCTGAGGGTTCTGCGATGCCTGTGACCTGGAATATGTTATGTAAATCTTGCTGACCGTCATTCTCTTTCTTAACAAAATGGAAGTAACAGTGGCCCCTATTTCCCAGGGCTGTCATAGTGAGCAATTAGACAACAGAGCCCAGTGTATGTAGCTGATGCTTGCTCAGTGAGAACCACAAGCTTATGCTAAAAACCCCAACTGTGGAGCACCCTTTAAGCTAATGCTGATGGGCATCACCCTCAAGCTTGGCCGCATTTCTCGAGCACCTGAGACCAAGGATAGAACCCATCTTAACCAGCTGCTATGCTCTAAGCTTACCAACCTACTTTGAGTGCCCACTGTTCCCTCCCCAGGAGTCTGCCATTCTTCCCATGATGAGCTCTTTCTCAGCCTGGAAGTCTCAGCTTTAGGCCCTTCCCAGAGAGGTCTGCTCTAATCAGCCCCCTGGGCAAGGGCACAGCCCACCCACAGCTCTCTCCTTTAGCACTTGGTCCTCTTTTCCCAGCCACATCACACACTACAGTTGCATCTGTTTGTTCACTTGCTTTCTGTCCATCTTCCTCCTGAACTGTGGGCCCTGCAGAGCTGGTGCCAATTATACCTATCTGCTGAGTGAATGAATGAATGAATGAATGAAGAACGCCTTCTCCCTGAAAAACTAGGACTGATGTGCATAAAAGAGAGCAGGCATATGATATGTTCTTTCTCTGAACAACAGAAACTAGACTGGTCTTATCAGAGGATTGGCACAAGCTCCTGACACTTTATATGGAGCTCTGTATTTAGACTCAATACACAATGCCACTGTCAGTCATTTAATCCAGTGCCACCCTGACTGTACAGTGACCAGAGAAAGCATCTTGTGATGCTCCCTCGTATTTACTGAAGTCACAAACATCTCTCAAGTCCAAACCAACATGTGGCGATGACTTTGGGGACATCAGAAAAGTCAAATCTAAGCCTAAGAATCAACTGAATCCCTGGGGGTGCAGGGTAAGCACATGGTGGAGGAAAAGAAGGGCAGTGGCTTTTGACCCAGAGAAGACCATGTTTAAACCTCTTCCACCACCTGAGACCTTGTGACTTTGGGCAGGTCATTAAGCCTGAGCCTCAACTTCTCCACCTGTAAAGAGGAAGTCATGCCCAGTGGCGGCAAACCTATGCCATTCATGCTGCAGCGAGCACACAGAGTCCTCTTTGTCAGCATGTGAACCAAGTGTATGAGTTGTTTTTTCTAAACTAAAACCTTAGTGGTTCAGGTTTAATTGTAGTCTTGGCACTCTGTGATAAATAATGGGGTTTTGGGTTGCAGTTTGGGCACTCATGTCTAGAAGGTTCACCATCACTGGTCATGCCTATCTCATAGAATTGATCTGAGAAGTAAATGAGAAAGACACAAAAAACCACCAACACAGAGCCTGCAATCAAACAGTGCTCAGTAAGTATTAGCATCTCTCTGTCCTACAGACTCTTTCCACCATGAAGAAATTTTTGACCTTGAGATCTGGGAGCTGTTGATAAATGTAGGATACAGCTCACCAAGGAGCGTCACTGTGACACTCAGTGACAGTGAGCAGATGTTAGCTCAGACAGTGCCCTCCTCCCAGGTAGAGGGAAGGAGACCTATGTGGTAGACCCTGCTAACTCCCTAGCCTCTAGAAGGCATGCTGCACACCCAAAGGGTTTCATCAATAAATAAGTGGGTGAATAAAGTCCCTAGAAGAAGCATAATTGATAGGCAACTGTTAAATTTAAAACAAAACTGGAGTCAATGTAGGTCTAATATCAATAACATACATACTTCATGGTTTTCTGCATTAAATCTATGATATCCAATCATTTCAGGGGTAATCTCCATTATATCAAAATAAAAACCTGAAACAAAACCAGGGAGAGATTAGAGATCAAAAACAAAGATCAGCTTCTTAACAGACTTACCGAAAGGTGAAACGACCTATATCGGCGATGACCAACCTTTTAGAGCTTTCAGTGATAACAAACAGTTGGCTGTGGCATATATGCCATAGGATTGCCACCAGTGACATATATCCATGCCCCAGGCCTCCTCTTGTCCCCCAGATGGGCCCTGTGAAGATCTCTGTTCCTTCTCTCCAACAGGACAGAGAGAACCAGAAAGCCCTGGGATAGCAGTGCTCAGTGATTACTCTTCCTGCTCCCACTTGGAAGGCTAGAGAAGAAAGCAGCTGCCCAACCAATCCTAAAATACCAGCAGGTTCGGTGGTGGGAGCACACTCCCTCCCTGAACAGAAAGCCTGCCAGGCATAGGGCGCCTCTTTCCTAATAGAGGCTTAAGAAGTAGACACTGTAGCTACCATCTCTGACATTGTGACCAGGGGCTTCAAGGGGACAGAGATGCAGTTATGGCCTGGCCTTCCATTGGGCACATGGACAGCATCATGACCCCACCTTCACTCAGATCATGGGGTCCCTCACCAGTCTGTGAGGCCCAAGGAGTAGAGGTGTAGGCAGGCAGGACTCCCCTAGGCTTCTCCATCACCCTCCTCTGACCCAACTCAAGGGGCCCCAGACCTTCCCCCTCCAGAAGGCAGCTGCTCCCCCTTCCCAGGCCCAGGTATCTCTAGACAGCCTACCCAGGTTTCCACTGTTCCCCATCTCTGTGGACTGCAGTGCCTTAGAGAACTCGTTCCAAGAACGGGAAGCAGACTCATCACGGATCTTCTCTCTCATGAGGGAACCATTTTTAAAGCTGCGGAAGTGCATACAACTCTGAGCACTGGGCCCACAGGTTTTGGGAGAGTCCCAGGCAGAGGGGTGCGGGTCAGGCTGGACCACAACCTGGTGGACAGTGCATAACAGGCAGCCTGAGCCTCAGGTATTGGACGGTGTCTGCCCAGTTCTAGGCCCCATGGACGTCCCCAGGAGGCACTGGACTCAAACTTGTCTTGGTCTTTGTCAGGGGTCAGAGGCTCAGAAACCTCCTCCTTGGATAGGTGGTCCTTGGTCCCAGAAGGCCCATGGTCAGAGCGCAGAGCATAGAGGGGCCTATGAGAACTGTCAGGAAGCAAGATATCCATCCTGCCATTTGTTAAAAGTCTGACAGGAGCCAACATGTCACAATTCCGTGAGATAAACCCTCTTCTCCTTTCCATTTTATGAGGAAAGTATAGCTCAGATACACCACAGGGTTTGTCCAGTCCCCCATAGGACAGAGTAGTGGGATTTAGTACGTGGACCCAGGTTTAGGGGATTCCAGATCTTGGAGTTTACCCGTCAGCTCTACTGTTAGCAAGAGCTGTGGGTACCTGGGGTCTGTTTAGTAGAAGGACTGGGGTGCTCAAGACTGGTGCCAGACCTGCTCATACCTCCTTCCCCCTACCCAGGAATTGTGCCAACCACACCCAGGCCCACCACAAGAGTGCCATGTACTGCTGTGGCTCAACCGGGTTGCAGAAGATGTGGCCTTCTAGGGCAGGCATGGGCTCCTGAAGCCAGAGAAACAGGGTATCGCTGGTGCCCAGGCTCACCTGGGGAAAGAAGGGCAGAGGGAAGTTGCTTGGGCTTTGCCTACAAACACTTCCTTTCTGCTAGCAACATGCTCTGTATTCCCTTACTTTAACCTTATCACTTCATTGCTCACCTCAAATGAAACACCACTTCCTCAGATGCCTCTTCTGACCCTCCCATACCAGAAGAATCCAAAGTCAGCCCCCAGGTTCAGGCTGTCAGGAATCCCTTTACTGACTTTCTAGGACGTATTACTACTGCATTGAGAGAATGACTTTGTCAGTGACTGGTTCTTCAAATGACTTCCCTACTAGATGCAAAAGACATGGGCTATATCTTCCTGTTCACCTGGGTAGCTTGCTGCCTTCTGGCCACAGGTCTGACCCTCTGCCCCTGCACCCACCAGGCTAGCCACTGCCTGCTTGGCAAAGAGCATTGAGCTTCTAAGGCAGGAGGTGTGGGCCACCACCCCCTTGTGGGATGAGCAGACCTTCAGAGAAGTAGCAAAGGCACTGCTGAGACCCAGCACCCTGGTCCCCAGGGGAGAAGAGCCCATCAGTGTGAGAAACCACCTTACCGCAATGTCACCTTCCTCCAGCCTCATGCCTGCCAGCGATGCTGAGAAATGAAGGGAAGTCTCTGGTTAGCTGGAGGCCTCATGAGCCCCCAACGAAAATCACAGCATGCTCCAGACAGCAGCACAACCTCCACCTCGCACCCAACCCACAAGACCAGGCCAGCTGAGGGCTTAGCAGGTCTGGAAGATCACAGAGCTGAGAATCTGGAATCCCAATAATTTGAGCTAGGAAGTCTCTTCCTTAAAGGGTGTAGACTCCCCTCTACCATTAGGCACTCAGTTGAGCAGAGAACCAAGAGGGTCAGGATAAAAGATGAAAAATGCACAGAGAAAGACCAGGCATGGAGCATGCTAGGTGGGAGTGTGAGGGGCTTTCCTATCTGGCAGTGTACAGGAAGGGGTAAGGTTATGCCGACTGTCCCCAGCCTTAGACATGGAGCCCACAACAGGGCCACAGTGATCTTTACCTGCCTTGTTTGCTGATGTATTAGGCACTGAAAAAACTCCTGGCACAGAGCAAGTACTCACTAAATGACAAATGAGTGAAGGAGAATCAGGGAGGGAAGTGACACACTCAAACTCCACCAGTGACATTCACTGGGCAGTGGCTGTCAGAGGCCTTGGATCCAGGGACCTCACCTCTGCAAACTTGCTCTGCAGTGACAAAAGGGATGAGATGGATGTGCAGCTCAGGGCTGTCTGCACTGCCCCTGCCCTGGAAGCAATGCCAACCTCCAACCAGAGGGAACCCATGAACTAAGTGCTGGCACAGCAAGGCCCTATGCCACCAGCCATGTGAGGCTGCCCAGGTGCATTGAAAGAAACAAGGTACATACACTCTGGGAGGCTGAGGAATGTAAATTGGAGCCCTGCCTGGGCAATTTAGCAAGACCCTCTATCAAAATAAAATTTTTTAAAGGGCTGGAAATGCAGCTCAGTGCAAAGGGCCTAGGTTCAACCCCTGGTACCAAAAAACTGAAAGAAAAAAGGCCAGTGGAGGTAGCTCAGTGCTAAGACCCTGGGTTCAATCCACACTGCCACCAAACAATAACAACAAAACAAAAAATGATGCTTATTTATGAGCACAGAAAGAAAACTGCAAGCAGAGGAACCACAGTCTCGACCCTCACTTGGGGCTCTTTAGAAAAAGGACCACTTTCCCTGGGTGGGGCTGGGGGCAGCAGGCAGTGTGCTGTTCAGTGTACTGTGCTGCTCACCTGGCCTTTCTTGAGAGACCTGAGGACCTCAGGAGCCCCTGGAGGAGAAGAGGAAAGGCCAGGGAAGAAGACAAGGTGTCTAGACAGGAAATAAGGCATATTTACAGATCAGACAACAGGGCAAGAGCAAAGACAAAACCATATCCTGGGGGAATAGCTGGAGCAGAGGTATCATCTTGGAATAGTAAAGGGCTGGGTTGAGGGCATGCCTGCATCCTTTAATCCCCCTCAGCTGACACCTGCAGGGAGTAGACACTGGCAGAGCTGCTCCTGAAGGTAGTGAGGGATAACGTGGGGTAGGGATGAGGAGTCAGTTTTCAGAAGGAAAAGGGGACACCACCTTAGCCAAGAGCCTGGACTGGAATTCTTTGAAGTCCAGCAAGAACTAGTTAGCCCCAGGCTCTCACCTGGGTTGTCCCCAGTGAAGGCCACCACTCTGCATCCGGGGGCAAATCCATAGCGCTGGATGTAGTAGGAAGAAATGGCTCCCTGAAGAGGAAAAGCAAGCGCCCTGCTGAGGTAAATTCAGTCCACTCAGTGCATCGTCTACACCACAGGCCCAGAATGCTCCAGGCTCCAGGTCATTGGAACTGAAGGAGCCTTCTGCAGAGCCTGGATATGCAATGACCACTGTCACAACCCCGGCACATCCCTCAAGTTCACAAACTGCCAGAGGCACTCCGTGCAGGCCTGGAACCACAGCATGAGATCATCCCAAAGACCACTTGATTTCCAGACTTGGTGCAGTGAGAACAAAACAATTTCCAAATTGAACCTGCTTTTGTAAGCTCTAAATTCTGGGTACAGCATTGCAGGGAAAAAGCACTGGGACATCAATAAGCAAACTCAAGGGAATAGATAATGCCTCAAACACCTGCTTATCATCCCAGCAACTGGACAAGGATAGTCGGACTCGCAGTTGCAGAGAACAAGGTGGTAAAGAAAATAAACCAAAAATGGCCGGTTGGGAAGGGTCCCATCCAGGAATCATGGACCTTGGACCCCTCTGAGAGGCTACGGGGCCAGAATGCAGGACTCCCCGGGACAGACTGATATTCTTAACAAAGGAGTTATGAAAAAGAGACAAAACTTTTTCTTTTCCTGACTATATTTTAGTTCCAAAAGTTTAAAATAAATGATAGGATGTCCTGGTGTCTGGGAGGAAAATTCTGCTCCAGCCAGCAAAATCTAAGAGATTCTCATCAGAACAAGCCATCCCCTGGGAAAATAAACATTGGCCTAGGTTGCCTTGAAATTCAGAGCCTGAGCCAGGGCTCACACACAGGTGGCTCTGCTGGGCAAGTGACTATAGGAGACAGGAACAGAGGATTGGGAAGGGTGAATAGGAAGGCAGCACACTGGACGAGCGCCATCACCACAGCACTGGTGACAGACACCCTGTGGGCTGTGCACATCCTGCACCTGCAGGGTCACAGAGCACAGGCACAGTCAAAGCCTGAGTGGAAAGTGAGGAGGTGAAAGTCAGGCAGGAGCTGCCAGGTGACACCTGTGTGAAGCCACAGCAGCTGGTGAGAAGGGGGTGCTGCAAGGATGCTAGGCAAGGTGTGAGAAGGGTCCGGCATCACACACATCTCCAAGCACTGTGCTGTAGAAATAGAGAGACAAGTATTGAGGGGGTTACCGTCAAAGATGAGATGACCAAAAATAGGGCTCTCACTTATTTTCCCCATCATGTGATGCACATGTGACAAATGAAAATGCAATTTTCACCACCAGTTCCCTCCACATCCTCCAAAGCTCGCCTCTCATAGGCTCCTTCTTGAAGGCACGCATTCTTGGCAAAAGGCAGACAAAGCCTGCCCCCCAGGACGAACTTGATTCCCAAGTTCACAAGAACTAAAAGCCTTGCATGGAATGGCTACCAATTCCTGGGCATGGCTTTTTGTTTGCCCTTCTTTGTCTTTCTGAATTGCACTGTCTGCCCACCTCCTTGGGCACATGGGTTTCTGTCAGCTTCTCTGGGAAAAACTGTTCTTTCTTGGCTCCATGCACTGGCCAAAGAGCACATTTTGATAATGATGCTTCTGCTTTGACATTCTGCCTTGTGATGCCAAAGGCAGTTTTCAGCATTATCAGTGAGAATCACATCTTTTAAGAAAAGTGCTTGTGGGAGCTGGGGATTTAGCTCAGTGGTGCCGTGCTTGCCTCACAAGAGCAAGGTCCTGTAACCTGGTACCGGAAAAAAAAAAAAAAAGTGCTTGTGGGGCTGAGATTCCCAGGGGATATTCACAAGAGCCCCATCTTCCTGTGGCCAGGTCCAGACTCTCTCCAGACCTTGGGGCTCCCTTCACACCCATACTCTCTCCCAAAGAGTTCCTTCTGGTTGTTCTGGCTGTGTGGCACATGCATCCTAACAAAGGGCCCAATGGCAGAGCCCAGCTCTCTCTCTACTCCACTACCTCGCTGGGACAGCCAAGGACAGGCCTGGTCAACCAAGGCATGCTCGGTTGTTTGTAGCCAGTGTTCATTCTGATGGGTGGTGCCGCACTGATGGTCAAGTGTTTTTAATTTACCCTTGCCACCAGGCACTGTCTTAAGCATTTTAAACATATTACAACTGAACATTTATCCCCATTGTTCCAGATGAGGAAATTGAGGCACAGATTAAATCAATGCAGTTAGTGACAGAGCCAGGATTCAGTCCCAGACAGTGTGGTACCAGGGCCTGTGTTCTGCCAGGCTCTCTTATATTTCCTTCTATGTACCTCAGGCCAAAGTACCTTCAGCAGTGGCCCCTCATCCTAGAATGTCAGCCTTTTGTATATTTATTCCTTAGGTGTGCAATCACCCAGAAATCCCCTCACCATGAGTCAAGAATCTACACATGCACCTTAGCCCTGCTACATGCAAGATGCTGATCCATATCCTTTACTTTGACTTTGTTAAACACTTGTCTTAGACTAACCTGAAACCCTGTGTATGTGCCTGTGTTAACTGATGAATGGGTGGATGTGTGAATGTACTACAGAGCTTCTGGCAGCTGCCAGCACAGATGGGAGACCTGTCACTGGGAGGAGACCTACCACCACAGAGCAAGATGGCACTGGTGGGCCAAGCTTCTCCTCTAAATGAGGGGCACAGGCACCAAGGCAAGCCTGGGACCAGACTTTCTCCTGGATCTGCAACAAATTCATTCCAGAACCTGAGGAAGGAAGAAATTTTTTTAAAAAATCATTTGAAAAAAGAGCCTTTGGTGAAATCTTCCGGATAGTGATAATTCTCTCAACACTAACTTAACACCCAGACCTCTCATCATAGCAGGTGTGCAACATGCCACATTCTCCTCAAGGACCTGGGAGTACAGGGTACCACCACCTTCTCCCACTATTCCTTACAGACTCACACATCACAGTGGCCTGGAACTCTGTGACTTCCCAGGTAGACTGAGGGGAGCAGAGTAAAGGGCCCAGCTGCAGCTGAGGAACATGAACCGCAGAGCATCCACTGGAGCAGGGCTGTGACCTCCCAGCAGTGCGAGCAGCCCCAGGGAAGGTGCAAAGCGTATTCTGGCTACTCTGGGTTTACTCTCCCAATTCCCCACATATGAACAAAAACTTTAATAAATAGCTCCCTGCAGGAGCCAGGCTTCTGATGCCCACACCTTGTGAGGTCCTCAGCACCATACTGCTCTGTGTGACCCGAAGGATGAGGCAGAGTGACAGCCTGTCACTTCCAAGATTGGTGTGGAAAACACTTCAGCTTCTGCTTGTCTGTGCCTGCCCACAATGTCATTAGTAGTCCTGCAGGAGCCCACTTGGTGAGGACAGGAGGCCATCTGTCAACAGTCACATGCAGGATCCTGCAAGTGAGTCCTCTGGCTCCAGTGGAGCCTTGGATGGTTGTAGCCCTGTGGCCAGCTTGCCTTCTGCCTCCTGAGAGATCTAAAGCCAGTACTACCCAGCCAAGCCACTCCTACATTCCTGACCCTCAGCACCGTGTGAGAAAATAAATATTAGTGGCCCCCAGGTGCTAAGTCATTTATGACACTGCAAAAGATAACTAATACCTCTCTTCTTGGCAAATGAGAATTGCACAGTCAGCACCCACACAGCATGGATGGGGCTGTCGCTGCCCACATGCAGTGGAAGGAGTGCCCCACCATCCCTACCCTGAAGTGTACCATCACTGTAGTCAATCGGCGAGTAAGAGCCAAGGAAGAGGGAGGCGGCAAAGCTGCTGACCAAAGAAATCCTCTGGAACAGAAACATAGTGACAGATAACTCATTTCCAATACCCTACACTACTGAATGTTTCTCCCATGCATACAACATGAAGAGCATTTTGTTTCATTTTATTTTATTATACTTATTTACTTATTTTATTTTTGAGATTAGATCTTGATATGTAGTCCAGGCTGGCCTTGAACTTGCACTCCTCTTGCTCAGCCTCCCCAGCACTGGGACTAACTACAGGCATATACCACCATTCCAAATTTGAAGAGAGTTTTGGATTGGGGAGGAAAGTGGAAAGTTTTAGGAAAACGCCCAAGTAATGATGGAGATTGAGTATCCTAGATAAGAGCAGCAAGAACTCTAAGAACTGACTTCTGGAGAGAACACTTTCTGCAGTTTCTGACAGGCCATGAAACTGTATGATTAATGAAAACAAAAAACTAAAGCCTTATGGAAACACATGCATAGGGCAGCTGGTTTTCCATGGAATTCCTGTGCAGGGCACTTTTACCCTTGCATCCCTTCCATTTCTATGTTCTTCATATTTCCTCAGAGGGAAGTGGATCATGCATGGCTATGGGATTCAGAACGAACTGAGACACTGTTGGGTTTGAGGAAAGTTTAAGTGAAAGCTGCTTCTTGTAAGCCAGAGATCCCAATCACGTGCCAGAGAAATCACCGAGGGATTTTAAATGTCAGCCTGAAGGTCTGAGTCCACAAGACCACTATGGGCTCTTTGACTAGTGGGCACAGTGCCACCATCTCCTCTCCCCATAAGGTCACTTGTGTTCCGTACAAAGAATTTGAGAAGGGTTTTTCATTCCTCAATGACTAATGACTCATTAAATAATAAACTACAAGCTAATTTCTAGGATTAAATATGTATTTCTGGGGGCCAGGGATTTAGCTCAGTGGTTCTGCCACCTGCCTCAGAAGCGCAGGGTCTCAAATTTGATCCCTGGTACCAAAAAAATCCCCCAAAAACCAAAAAACCAAAAATGTACTTCTGGCCATACACAGTGATACACACTTGTAATCCTAGCTACTACCTGGGAGGCTGAGGCAAGAGAATTGCAAGTTCAAGGTCAGTCCAGGCAATTTAGCAAGACTTTGTCTCAAAAAGGGAGTGGGCAAAATAAAACCCAACAATCTGTGTAATTAATATGCTCTAATATTATTAAATAACTATCCAAAAGTATTATTAAAAACTATTTTTAAAAAGGTTTGGGAATGTAACTTGATGACAGAACACTTGCCTAGCATGTGTGAGGCCCTGAGTTCAATCCCAGTACTGCAAAAGAAGAAAAAAATCCTGTGGTTTAAGGTGAGTTAATCATTTTTTTGTTACAAAATGCAATCACTATCCTGGTATGAAGCAGTCTCTCTAGCAACATTAAGTGCTGGCTTTCAGCAACTGTGTAGCCAGGAAGGAATGTGGGTTCTGTGATGCAGGCTCTGGGTAAAGGGTTGTGGCTGGAGACACAAAGGTGCAGCTCTCCCCACTTCCAAGGAAACCCTGATCCATGCCGATCAAGTGCCTCATCACCATCCTATACCATCCACACACGAAAGTCAGTGCACAGAGCCAGAAGGGCACCCAGATCGCCTCCTCAGAAGACACCAGGCCCCCAGCCTCACCCTAACCCCTCCTGGTCACGGCAGCCCTTGACTTCTCTTTCTCACAATTCCATTTCTCCCTCCTCTTTAGAAACAGCCTGACAAGAAAAAAGCAAACTGAATAGTCACGCACTACTAGGATACCTTTTTTTTTTTCTGGTACCAGGGATTGAACTCGGATCCTTGCATTTGCAAGGCAGGCAGCGGAACCTCTGAGCTAAATCCCTGGCCTGACTAGGATACTTTTCAAGAACTGCATCATTAGGCAATGATTTCACTATTGTGGAACCACAGTGTATTTGCACAAAGCTAGACGCTGTAGCGTACCACATACTTAGCTATTCACTGTACCCTCCTGGGCTGCAAACCTCTACAGTGTATCACCACGCTGAATACTGCAGGCAGTTACAACACAATGGTATTTGTATATCTAAACACAGGAAAGGTACAGATTTTCTTTTTGCTTTTATATTTTTAAACAAGCATAGTTTTGCTATCTTCAGAATAACTAACATAAACAAAAAGTTAAAAAAATAAAAATAACCAACATCAGAAACTTAGAATAACATTTTCATTGAAAAGTTTCTGCACACCAAAGGACACAACCAGGAGAGTGAAAAAATAACCTACAGGATGGGAAAAAATCTTTGTCAGCTATACCTCAGACACTACAATATAAAAAGAACTCAAAAAAATCAGACCCCCTCCCAAATAAAAGACCTAATAAAAAATTAGCAACTGAAATGAATAGACACTTCTCAGAAGAAGTACACACGGCCAAATACACACATGAAAAAAATATTCAACATCATTGGGCATTAGAAAAATGTAAACAGTAAAATAACACTGACATTCTATCTTACCCCAGAAAGAATGGCTACTGTGAAGAAATCAAATAATAACAAACCCTGGCAAGGATGTAGGGGAAAAAGGAACCCTTCTGCATTATTGGTGGGAGTGTAGACTAGTACAACCACTATGGAAACCAGTATGGAGATTTCTCAAGAAACTAAAACTAGAAATTCCATTTGACCCAGCTATACCCCTTGTAGGTATAAAGAGCTAAAAATATTTTATTACAGTGATACATGCATGCTCATGTGTGGTCTATATGTTCATCAACAGAATAGATAAAGAAAATGTTGTGAGGGGCTGGGGATTTTGATGGCCTGCCTACCTGACAAGTGCAAGGTCCTGAGTTCGATCCGGGAAAAAAAAAAGAAAATGTTGTGTTCATAAACAATGGAGTACTACTCTGGCATAAGAAAGGATAAATTTGAGTCATTTGTAGGAAAATGGATGTACCTTGAGACAATAACGTTAAGTGAAATAAATCAGACACACAAGCTTAAATATCACATGGTTTCTCTTTTATACGAGAAAACTAAGTGCAAAATAAAAGATAATAGGAGACAGGGAAATAGATATTTTGCAAATAGGAAGGGAACCAAGAGATAGAAAGAATAGAGAGGGAAGAGAAAGGAAGAGGAAGTAAATAGAATTAAGATGTGTTATGTACATGGGCCACCTTTCTGTGGTGAATGTAATCATTATGCATTGTAAACATGTACTAATAAAAATAAATTAAAACAAAATTAAACAATATAACACTTTCATATGCCTGGCAGCACAGTAGGTTTATTTACACTGGCATCACCATAAACATGTGAATATGGCCTTACGATGTTAGCATGGCTGTAATGTCACTACATGATAGGAATTTTTCAGCTCAACTATAATCCTTTTTATTATTCACTGCTGGGAACTCAACTCAGGACTTTGCACATGCTAGGTAAGTGCTCTGCCGCTCAGCTATGCCCCTAGTTCTGCCATAATCTTACGGGACCACCATGTGTATGTGAGTCCATCCTTGACTGAACCGTTACAGCACATGATTTAGATACCATTATCCCACCTCCCCGTATTGTGGATGGAACCAGGGCTTTGCACATGCTGGCAAGGATTTTACTCCTTAATATCTCTTTCATTGTCTACTCATCACATTTTTTTAGCCAATGCACCTAAGATATATTCATGCTAAAGGCAAGGATTATAAAAGAAATTCAACTGTGACTTTCAACTGAACAGGAATGCTGAACAAACCTCTGTGCGTGAGTAGGCCTCAGGGTTCTGCTGGTAAATCTTTGCAATTTGGTTGCCTGTAAAACGCTGGGGAAAGAGTACAAATTCTTAGAAACCCAAATCCTACACAGAATGAATAACCAACTCCTTAAAGTAAGTTTAACATAGCAAACTCTAGCTATTTGGTGGAATAGTATAAGCTTTAATTAACTGATCAATTTTAGTATTTTTTGTTTGTTTTTAGACAGGGTCTTGCTATGGGGCCCAGGCTGGCCTCAAACTTTCGATCCTCCTATGTTAGCCTCTTGAGTTGTGGGATTACAGTGTGGGCCACCACGCCCAGCCAGCAAAAACATTTAAAGGTCCCAAATCCTGAAATGTTTGGTATCTGCTAAACACCCAAGATTCAGGACTCTGAATCTTTAATGTGCTTGGTAATCAAATATTCAGGCAACAAAATAATCATGTTATAGCCATAGGACAGGGACATAACTTCTGGGCCTTCCTGGGACAGGCTTTCACACATTAGAACTGAACAAGCCTTCATGAATAACTTTGCTCTTTACAATACAATTATGACCAAGGCACCAGAGCAGGCAACTCAGCTATCTCCCCACCTACTTTCTTATTTCAAGGGTCCTAAGCAGGGTTGGCCCTATTTCTCAAATCTGTACTCCAGAGACCACGTGGCCCAAACTGGCCAATCACAGCCACTCCTGGGACTGAGGCCCTATATCTAGGCCCAGCACCTATCTGCCATGCTGATTCCTTTCAGTCTCATAACTACTCAAAGTGGGAATCCTGTTGTTATGAGGATACAGAGAATGCAACCTGTCATCTCCTACATACAGCAGCTCTACATGAGCTCCTTCACTTGTGAATACCTGGGAAAAGGCTGCCCTTGTGCAATGGGGAAGGTGATGCAGCCAGGACCAGGACCCGGGGGCCTTCATGTCCAATCTTGGCTCCACAGGGTAGGCACCGCACCACCTCACAGGATCCCTCACAGAGGCTGGGTGCCCACTGTGTCTTCCCAAATATCTGGGAAGACAGTTCAGCCCCACCCTGGCCCATCTTGGGCTGCTTACCTCATAGGCACGGGACCCTGTCAGGCAGCTGAGTACCTGGGCTCCCCCAACAGTGGCTTCTAGCTGGCGGCACTGGGCCGTGGTGCTGGAATCCATCCACACTGGGCAGTCACTTAGGGAGAAACAGGCCTGGAAGAGGGGGCGAGGTGCTGGCAGTCACAGTGCCCATAAGAGCAGGCATGGTCCCACTGCCCAGGATGTGCCCTTACAAGACCTGCAGGCAAACCCTCTGCCTGGCCCAATGGCATGGAGTTGAAGGGATCCACTAGTGAGGCATCCAGCAGAATGGGTGTCCCTGGAGATGGGCAGGAAGGGGCTACAGCTGCAGCAAAGCCAGGCTTCATGGGAGCTCCTGAAACCCAGGAGGAAGGGGGAGGCCAGAGGCTCCCCCTCCCAGCAGCATCCCCAGGAGCATCAGGAACCAAGGGACGGTGGGAGGGGAAGCCAAAGTCTTTCTGGGAAGCAAGGGGCTCATGTGACTAGGGTCCTTAGTACCTGATCCTCATCTCCACACCAGGGAAAGAGTCGGGGGTGGGGTGGGGGCGCAGATTATAGTACTGAGCTACTGCCAAAGCCACCTTCTTACATGCTCAACAGTGTGGAAAAAAGCTCTGGACTTAAGGGTCCACAGGACTTGGGGTCGTTCCACCCATCTAGAGTTTCTCAGACTCACTGAATATGGCCATTACCTGCAGCTGCTGGTGCAACAGGAGGTCTGGTGACAGGCTTGTCAGCACCCGGCTGGCCCCAGCACTCCAGTACACGCTCCCGTGTTGCTGTTGAGGGGAAATCCAAGCACATGTTCATACAGCACACACGGGTGTCACAGAAAGATCCCAGAGCACATGCCAAAGAACTGGGCTCCAAGCTTCCCCTGCCACCTCTCAGTCACAGAGCTCATCACTTTTGAGACTCAGTTTTCACTTCTATAAAAATGGGGAGAAACTTCACCCTGAGACCCCAACACCTGTAGGAAGGATCCAACAAAGAATTATTGGTCTGTATCTTGGTGTTTTTTGTAAAATTATATATAAAGATACTAATGGCAATATTGCCTGGAATTCATTCACTCATTCATTCATTCAACAAACATGTATTGAGCACCTGGATCCTGCCAGGGACAGGACAGAAAAAAAGGGGTATTTATTGACCCTATTTTTCAGGACAATGGAGTTGAGTCAAGGAAAAAGATAAGATACAAATGTACAATCATAGACCCTGTCATGACAGGGATGTGGGAACATAGAGAACCAACAAGCTGGGGTACAGATGGGCAGAGTGGACACAAGTGTTAGGATAGAGCTGGGTGCCTGGGTGTTCTGTGCAGACAGCATCTTTAGGGGAGAGCCTGGCAGGTCTGGCAAAGGGCGGCCTTCTAAGTGGTGGGCCTGCAGATGCAGGGCATGGGCTGGAAGGAGAGGAGGGTACCTGAGCACAGAGCGCCTGAAATCCACGCTTTTGTGGTTGGAGTTCCTCTCAGAGGTGGTGGGAAGCCGGGGTGAGCAGAGGAGCAATGTGGCCGGGGCTGGATGGACAGGGACTGTGGGAGCCAGGCAGAAGCAGGCTGAGTCAGGGAGGTCACAGGAGAGGCCCAGAGAGAGGAGACTGGTACCAGGCCTGGGTCAATGGAGGCAGAGCTGGCAGAGAGGTGACAGATTCAGAGTTCTGTAAGAATTTAGAGGGTACAAGGGCCCCTTGGATGTGGCATGGGAAGATGGAGGGGTCAGGACAACTGGACTATACCCATGGGAGGACTGGGTAAATTCCCCAAGAAGGGAAATCCATGGCAGGAGAGGTCCGAAGGATACAGAGCACTCAGTCTGGACATGCTATGCTTCAGGTATTTGTGGGATGCCAGGCCACGTGGCAGATGTCTAGGAAGGAGAAGGGATCCAGGCCTAGGGTTCTAGTGAGGGCTGTGGATGACCCAGGGACTCTGTAATTTAATAAGAACCAGAACACGTTCCTGTGAGGGCAGAGGGGAGAAAGGCCTTCTTTAGAAAAATGAGTTCATGCTCCCTAATTAGGATGTGAAACCGAGTGGTCAGTAGGAAGCAAGGCAGCTCCAGCACAGCACACTAACTAGAGAATGACACTGCTGGTGGGTTCTGACTTCCCCACCTGGCTGGCACATGATCCTGAGCAGGTGAAATCACCTCACTGTGTCTCAGTTCCCTCAGGTGAATGTAGATGATAAGACAGTAGATAACACTCAAATGAGGTTTATTATGTATTAGGCATTGTTCTTTGTATTTAACACTTACTGTGACCCTATGACATATGGATATGGATATGGATATGGATATGGATATGGATGCACTGGAAGGCCAATGACACAGCCCAAGGGCCCACTGGAAGGCCAGTGGCAGAGCTGACATGCCCAGAGCTCTCATGCTGGCCGGCACCACCTTAGAATCATGGTCAGGGCCAAGTCAGGTTGCGGAGAGGAACTCCTCGATGCGGCACCTGCCTCACACTAAGGGCACAGTCCGTGCTGCTTAATGTTGTCATTGCTACTCTTTCTACTACTAAAGCTATTCCCATAGTCAGTATCATTTCTTATTTTGCCTTTACTTCCAGGAAACAGAAAAGCAAACAGTCAATAAATTCATGTCAAATGCTCCCTCTCCTTTTAACAGGGCCACTATTCCGTTCTCTCCCACAGTGTCCTACTTTCTATAATGATAAATCCTAAAAACTGTCTCAGACCCTTTTGCAAGGAGGCAAGTCACACAGTGTCTGAGGTGACATGGCTGGAGGCTCTTTCACTGAAAACAAAAAGCATGCTACAAGAGGAATCATCACACCTCTACCCCAGACAGCCACCCCCACAGGGCAGATGGTAGCTAGAAACAAACCTGGCCCGCCCCAGACAAGGCTAGGACTTGAGAGAAGTCAAAACCTGAAGCCTTCATCTTCTCCAGGATGATGTCCAGAGCCTGAGAAGAAGCACAAAGTCCACCATGACTGCACTGAACCATGGAACCAGGTGAGCCTCGAAATGGAAATGAATGCAAGCAGCTGCCTGGGCAGGAGGTTATGGGCCAATGAGGACACGCCTGATGACAGGTCTGTAAGCACCGGGACGTGCTAAGCAAGCAGGTATCCACTGAGTAAAAAGGTCAGTGATGCTAAAAATATTTTAAATAAATGGAATCATAAACCACGAATCCTCAGTTCGGTTCTCCCATTTGTGACTCACAAGCCCTCAGGATGCAAAATGTGAAGCAGCTCCTAGCTCAGACTCCCCATGAGCAGCAGCCCAAGGTAGAAGATGTGGGTGGAGGGGCAGCCATCTGTCCCAAGCACTCCCTCCATCCTTTGCTGCTATCTGGATGGAGCCTTCTTTTCAACAGGACTCCATGGGTGGGGTGGATGGTGGGGCACAGGAGAGATAAGCCACTAAGACGTCACAGCAGGAGACAGAAAGTCACCCTGGCCATGCTTCTCTGAGAACAAAGACGTTACTCTAGCATTAGCCTGAGGCCCTCGTCCCTGCCTTGTGCTGAGTGGACTTCTTCTAGCCCTGACTGCTCTGCACTCTGCGCCCTGCTTGTCAACCCTCGTGCAGGGGATGCTCAAGATCAGAAATCCCCCTGGATCAGAAATCAACCCAAGCCTGGATGTCTCACCCCAACTCACCTCTCCAAGTGAAGGCCTCTGCCTAGTGGATGACCTTACCTACATCCAGGACCTCTTTTTTATTTATTATTTTTAATAGTTTTTATTTTAATATAATAGAAGTAGATATTAATAAAGAAAATATAAAACCTGTTCTATGAAAAATAATTTTTCATAGCAAAAATGATTAGAGATTAACAATGATAAATACACAGTGTATCATGATCTAAAAAGAATATATTTTCATTTGCTAATCTCTCAGCTCACTTCCTAATAATACCATACCTTTTTGGCTAAAACATTTTAAGTTCAGAAAGTATCTCACATTCGGTATCATTTTGAACAATTTCTTCCTTTTTCGCTATATTTATTATTCTTTTTGGTCTTTGTTTTCACTTTCAGTTTCTCACACCAGAGAGACAATGTGATATTTACACATGTGTGTTCAATTTATTTCACTTAAAAGTATGTCCTTAAGGTACATCCATTTACCTAGAAGTGTCTTGAGTTTATCATTCTTTATGGCAGAGTAGTACTCCACTATATAAAAAAACCCCTACATCTTCTTTACCCATTCATCAGTTGACGGTCATTTGGGTTTTTTCCAAAATTTAGCTATTAAAAACTGTGCTGCTACGGGAACTACCAGAAAGAATCAACAATTGAGATCTCATCTTATTAAAAAGCTTCTGCACTGCAAAAGAAACCACCAACAGAGGTAACAGACAACCTACAATATGGGAAAAAAATTTTAACAGCTGTACCTCAGACAAAGGACTACTATCTAGAATATATAAAGAACTGAAAAAAATCAGACCCTCCAAATTCAAAGACCCAATTCAAAAATGGGCATCTGAAATGAACAAACATTTCTCAGACAAAGAAGTAAAAGCAGCAAACAAATATATGAAAAAATGTTTAACATCACTGGTCATTCGAGAGATGCAGATGAAAACAACACTGAGATTCCACCTCACCCCACAAAGAATGGCTGCTATCAAGAAATCAATAAATAACAAATGCTGGCAGGGTTGTGGGGAGAAAGGAACCCTTCTCCATTGTTGGTGGGAGTGTAGACTGGTGCAACCACTGTGCAAATCAGTATGGAGATACCTCAAAGAACTAGGACTAGAGGTCCCATTTGACCCAGCTATTTCCCTGCTGGGTATCTTCCCCAAAGAATTAAAAAGAATCATACCACAGTGATATATGTGCACCCATGTTCATAGTGGCACAGTTTGTAATAGCTAAAGCTTAGAAACAGCCCAAGTGCCCATTAACTGGAAACTGGATAAAGAAAATGTGGTTTTTTTTTAATAAAATGGAGTACTACTCAGCCATAAAGAATGAAAAACTAGAGTCATTTATAGCTAAATGGATGCATATCGAGGTCATACCCTTAAGTGAAATAAATAGGACACACATGTGTAAATACTGAATAGTTTCTCTAGTGTGAGAAACTGATAGTGTAAACAACGGTTAAAATGATTAAAATGAATAATTGATGATTTGAAATACGAAAAAAGGTCCAAAGACAAAGGAGTGAAGGGAAGGGAAGGTGAAAGGAAAAGAGGGAAAGGAAAAACTATGAGAAAAGAAAAAAAAATGGAAATGAAATCTATGTAAATAGGGAAGGGCGGAGGGGGTGAAGGGCGCACAGGTAATGGGGAAAAAAATAAGAACCAAGATATATCATGTACAGGTACAAACACCCAATGATAAATGTAAACAAATTGTATACCTAAAATGTACCAAAAAAAGAACTAAAAAAAACTGTGCTGCTACAAACATGGGTGCACATATATTGCTGTGGTATGATGCTTTTCATTCTTTTCAGAAGATACCCAGCAGGGGAATAGCTGGGTCATATGGGACCTCTAATCCTAGTTTTTTGAGGAATCTCCACAGCAGTTGCACCAGTCTGCACTCCCATCAACAGTGGAGAAGGGTTCCTTTCTCTCCACAGTCCTGCCAGCATTTGTTGTTGGTTGATTTCTAGATAATAGCCATTCTTTCTGGAGTGAGGTGGAATCTCAACACTTTTAATTTGCACCTCCTGAATGACCAGTGATATGGGACATTTTTCATGTATTTAAATGCTGTTTCTACTTCTTCATCAGAGAAGTGTGTATTCATCACAGATGCTCATTTTTGAATTGGGTATTTAAATTTGGGTGGACTGATTATTTTCAGTTCTTTATATGTTCTGAACATTAGTCTTTCTTTTGAGGTACCACTGGCTAAAAATTTTTTCCCACTCAGTGCATTGTCTCTTCACTCTGCTGGTGACTGCTTTTGTTGTGCAGAAGCTTTTTAATAAGATGAGGTCTGGGACCTCTTGACAGTGACCCTTACCTCTAACCCACTCACCACCCCTGTAGTCCAGCTCAACCTGACTGGGTAAAAATCCATCCCTTACCCCAGTCCTCCAGTGGAACAGTCATGTTCAGGCCAATAAAAAAGAAACCATACTAGTTATCTTTAGCAGAAAGAAATTAAAACAGGAATTGTTTAAACAGGTATGGAGGACTTCGAAAAGCTTTGGTCAAATAAAGTAGGCGCTGCCTTTGGCTGGTCTCCAAGGACTCTGGTATCTGGCGTAGGAGGCAGTCGCAGCCCTATCATGCCTGTCTGTGCTGCCCACATCCTTGGCTCTGTGGCCCCATGGGTCACCAGACCTGGCTTCAAGCATCCTTCTTTCTTATTGGACCCAAGGAAGTAGGCCTGGCTAGTCAGGTCATATGTCATCATTCTGAGTGCCCGAACCCTGGGGCTGAAGGACTAAGACCCCAAGAGCTGTGTTTGGAATTCAAGATACAATGGAGACCCAAGGGCTGACTGCAGGTGTCTGGGAAAGCCTGGCTCTGGCTCTGGCTCTGGCAGGACTTGCCAGCCACTGTTGCTCTCAGACCTGTTAGCCTTTTGTGATCTCCCTCAGCCTGTGAGTGCTGAAACCAGGTGAGGCTGAACCTGCCCCAGGAACCACACGGGTCCTTTAACCCTGAGGACCTGGTCTCAACAGCTACTCAACAGCCACCCAGGGGCTTCCTAGGAAATCACTAAGCCTGCTGGTCAGACAGGCTGGGGACAGAAGAGGATCCCTGTGCTTACCTGGACCCACATCAGGACCGGGGAGGTGACTGTCAGCCCATCCTTGTGCACGTGCACCCCGCCCTGAGTCCTGCAGGGAGAAGAGGAGAGAATGTGAAATGGAGCCTCAGGGCAGGCTCAGTACTGCCACCCAGCCCACAGTGGGGTGCTGGAGACCTCCCTCCCTCAGCAGGAGGGAAGTCATGGATCATCCAGAGAAGCCAAGAAATGGCATTCTCAGAAAGTGTGTTCCCAATGAACCTTGCAGGTGTGAGGGGCTGGCCCGGGAAGACAGGGATAGTGTCACTTGGTAAATTAGTCACACGGGAACCAGGGCAGTGTGGATTGGACTAAAAGCCCACAAGTTTGGAGAAGTGGAGGACGGCTGTGTCTGCAGGAGTAAGTTCTTGCCCATAACAGCAGCTCAGGGACTCCTTGAACTTCAAGTCCTGGAAGGTTCTTGGAACCCTCTTCCCACCCTCTGCAAAGAGCTGATCTGATAAAATCCAACCCTTCCAACTCTGAGTTAAAATGTTTTTTTAAAGGCTTTAAAGGTAAAGATATCATTAAATAACTATGTGAGCTAGCCACTCCATCCCTAAGGATCTAAACGTGTTGTATCCTGACTATACTGGTACTTTCACAGGTGCAGGTCTCCTTCCCTCTGTCAAAACACATGGAATTATATGTTATTGTTTTCAGTACCAGGACCCCATAATTGCTATGCGAGTGCTCTACCACCGAGCTATATACTTAGCCCTCTTCTATTTTATTTTGGGGCAGGGACATGCTAAGTTACCCAGGCTGGCCTTTAACTTGCAGATGTCCTGCATTACCCTCCCAAGTAGCTGAGATTACAGGTGTGGGTCACCATGCCCACTGAATTACATTCTTTTAACGGAAGCCTTTTTCTGTACATAGAGTATCCTTAATGGCACTGATATTTTTAAAAAGATACTGTCAGGGGAAAAAAAAGGCAGAAAACCTAAGGACAATAAAAATTCACCAGAAAAAAAGTTGTCTTTACAAAGCAAATGAAAATTGTAACTCAAACTTTCCACCATGTATTTAACAACTTAAAATTGGAAATTCTCACTGAGAAGGAAGACGAGAGTTACCCTACACCTCTAAAGGAATAGCTTCACAGAAAAATTCTACAAAACCTTTTTGTTTTTCTTTTGCAGTGCTGGAGATTGAACCTAGAGCCTTGTAGGTGTCAGGCAAGGAGTCTGTCAGTGAGCTATGTTCCCCGTCTTACACAACTTTTAAAAAGTATTTCTAATATTATTTAAATTGTCTCATAGCACCTAAAAAGAAAAATTTCCAATTATTTTATGAAGTAATTATAATAGTAACACCGCAATGTAACAAATACTGCACAAACAACAAAAGAGAAAAATAATTAAGACTTTATTAAAAGTAAAGGGCCAGGGATTTAGCTCAGTGGCACCGCACCTGCTTTGCAAGCACAAGGTCCTGAGTTCGATCCCTGGCACCAAGAAAAAAAAAGTAGAAACTTTATTCAAATGGTCATCAAGAAAGTGAAGACAGGGGCTGGGGATTTAGCTCAGTGGTTTCACCACCCGCTGAGCAAGCGCAAGGACCTAGGTTCGATCCCTGGTACCAAAAAAGAAAGTGAAGACATTTGGGAAGCTGAGCCAGGAGGATCACAAGTTCAAACTAGTCTGGGTGGGTTAGCAACTTAGTGAGACCCTGTCTCAAAATAAAACGTTTTTTAAAAGGGTTAGGGATGTAGCACTGTACTAAGGCCCTGGGTTCAAGCCACATCTGCAAAAGGATAATAATAATAATAATGATGATGAAGATGGCTCACAGCATGGCAGAAAAGTTTGGAAATCATATACCTGACAAGAGATTTGTGTCCAGAATATAAAAAAAACTTTTACAATTCAATAATAAAAAGACAGCACAGTTTTTAAAAATGGGCAAAGGATCTGGACAAATTTCTCCAAAGAAAGTAAGCAAATGGCAAAGGTATCAAACATTATTAGTCATTAGAAAAATGTAAATAAAAACAACAATAGATAGCACACCACATCCCCTAGGCTGGTTATAACAAACAACCAGAAAGATGAACAGTAACCAATGTTGGGGAGGATGTGGAGAAACTGGAACCTTCATTTACTACTGGTGCAAATGTAAAACAGTACACCAGTACCCCAAAATGCTGAACACAGAGTTACCATATGACCCAGAACTTCTACATAAATACCTAACAGAAATGAGAACATACATCCACACAAAAACTTGCATTGTATTAGGTCAGGTTGTCATGACAAAATACCACAGACCGAGTGACTTCAACAACAGATTATTTATTTTCTCCCAGTTCTGGAGGTTGGAAGTCTGTGACCGAGGTACCAGAAAACTCCATTTCTGAGGCAGGTCTTCTGGCCTGCAGACACTCACCTCTTACTACGTTCTCACAAGGCCTTTCCTGTATTCGCATACACAGGAAGAAAGCTGCAGTGTCTCTCTTATAAGGACACCAGTCCTGTCCGATCAGGGCCCCAGCCTTATGACTTCAGGTCACCTTAGTTACCTACCCAAAGGCCCCATCTGCAAGTGCAGACATATTGAGGGCTGGGGCTTCAACATATGCATTTGGGGCAGGAGACACACTTCAATCCATAACACACAAGAATATTCACAGCAGCATAATTCACAATAGCGAAAAAAAAAAAAAAGAAGAATCCAGATGTCCACTCAACTGATGAATGAATGAATAAAATGTGGCGTGATCCCAGCTACTGAAGAAAATAAGGCAGGAGGATCATAAATTCAAGGCCAGCCTGGGCAACTGAGCAAAACTATCTCAACTGACATATGTTATGTACATGTACCATTTCCCCACAATTAATGTAATCATTCTGTGATAAGGATTACGTAAGGTCATCACCCCTCCATGAATGAAAACTGGTAGCTTTATAAGAGGAAGAGGTGAGGGTATAGCTTAGCGGTGAAGTAAATGCTTAGGATGTAGAAGGCCAGAGAGAAAGAGAGGGAGATCACATAAGCACACACATATATGCCACACACACACAGAGACATGAACAATCTTTGTTCCTTGTCATGTGTTGCCCTGTACCACCTCAGAACTCTGAAATCCAAGAAGGCTATAGTCAGCTATGGTCCCTAGACCTTCAGCCAGAACCACAAACCAAAACAAACCTCTTTTCTTTATTTTCTTTGTAACTGCAGTATTGTGTTATGAGTCTGTGGCAGTGGTGGCCAACCTATGGCACATGTGCTACAGTGAGCTATTTGTATCATTGAAAGCTCTAAGAGGTTTGCCGTTACTAGTCTACGGTATTGTGTCATAAGCAACAGAAAATGGACTGACACAACCACTGAATGCCAGTACCCCTCACAGTGTCTGGAACAGAGCCTATCTGAAATGGTACTTAATGCATGTATGAATGAACGAATGAATGAATGGAGTTGGGAAGGAACAGTAGAAATCACCCAGGTACAGAAAAAAAAAAATGCTCAGAGGTCTAACAAGACCACTTCTCCTGCAGTTTGGTGAAGCCAGAACAGTGTGGTCTATGAATATAGACAGTTTGGGGATGCCCAAAACCATACCCCCCCCCCCACACACAACCCTATATACCAGGCACATACCCAAATTCTGGAAGATCTCTGTCAAAATGCACACTGTCTTCATAGAAGATATTCATCCCTGCATCAACAGCAACAACTTTCACCTGGAAGGCATTTTTTAAAATGATGTAAAGAATTTTTCTCAGCTTCTGCACTGGTCCATGGGTTACTAACATCACCAGATAGGGTTCAGTCTAGTGACTCTCTTGAAAGCTAGGGTGCATCATTGTAACCATGGCAACAGAGGCTTATCTCCAGGCATACCCAAAGATTTAGTGAAATGAAGAATCTGACGCTAAGTAGGACCACTCATGTATCTCCCAAGAAACTCCGCTTCCCAAACAGCCAAACCCTAGGCCCTCCAGCGTTAATTCACAGACGCTGGTTCTGGACCCAGGCAAGGAGGCCTGAGAAAGTCCTAAGGCAAGGATGGAAGGCTAAGTGAGGCGACTCAGGGGTGGGAATGGGGCTGTCTGTCCGGGTCTGAGAGGCCAGGCAGGGTGCACGGGCTGTTCCCAGAGGCCAGAGACACTCAAGAGTATAGCTCCTTTCCTGAACAAATGGGGAAACCGCGGCAAGGCAACCCGATGTTCGCATCAGGTATTGATGAGGCCTGCTTCCCCTGACCATTTGAGGACAGGGGTTTGTCTGCAACAGTTTACTCCCTGGGTACCCCACGCCCAGTTCAAAGGCAAGTTTTCACTGTGCCTTCGACGGCCAGCAGTCCCAGGTCTGTGGACCCGGACATGCTGGTGCCAACCAAGGACAGGCAAAGTCCACTGTACACTGCACCTATTTCACTTTAAAAACAAGTTTCAAAAGCTGGTCCAGTTCCAGGTAGCTGCTTGGCGCACAAGCAGCGCTGCCCGTCTGTCGGCTCCCTGCCGGGCCAGGCCGAGCGGCTCCGAGTCCCGCCCTCGGTGCCACTGCGGGCAAGCCGATGTCCCCGGACACCTCCCGTTCCGTGCCCACCGGGTTCCGCCGGGGGCGCCGCCGTTTCCTTGAGGGTGAGGGTCTAGGGCGCAACTCGCCGGCAGCGCATCGCGGGCTGGCACACCCGCGCCCTGCGGCCGCGCACCGGGAGGGGTCGCTGGAGCCCCGGGAAGCCCGCAGCGCGGCCGGTCCCAGGGTCCCCGCTCCCGGTGCTACTCGCCTGCCCCGCCGCCTCGGCAGTGCGACTGTACCTGCTGCGTACTGAAGTCCCAGCCTAGGCAGCAGCGGCGCGCACCGCACTCCTCCATGGCACGCACAGAGTCCCGCCACGCGTCAGTCTGTCCGTCCGTCCCGGGGCGTGACTGTCGCCGCGCTCCAGCGCCCGGAGACGCTGGGCCCGCCCCTCGCCCCGCCCGGTGGAACGCGGGACCAAGTCACGAGACGGCCTGCGCTCTGGCGCCATCTGCCGGGCCAACGAGCGGGGAATGCGTCTGGCCCGGGCCTTGTGGTTCGCACCTGTGTGCCAACCGCTCTCCCACCCCGTCCTCCCCCCATCCCCGCGTGTAATCGGCTTCCCTCCCGCGCTCACCCAGCGGCTGCTTGCCAGTTTCATCTGCTCTCCGCACCCGCTTGCCGTAACGCAGCCTGGCTTCCCCAGAGGACTCTTGGGCCACAGGCCTCAGCTTTAAACCAACTTGTCACTGCTTAGGTGGCCCTGGTCACCTAGGTGTCACTAGGGAGTCAGAAGGAAATGCGACCTGGGTTCGGAGGCCCTGGGCTCTGATAGTCGCTGTACAAACTCAGCAAATCCAAGTAGTTCACCAGTGTGTCACATTTCATCTCTGTATTTAAAATCAGAGCTCATGATCCCGCCACGGATGAAGCTCATTCATTTCCGCGGTCTCAGTACTAATGGTCTAGTGTGTGCCAGGAGTGGTGAAGGGGGTCAACTACTCCCTTCAGACTTGAAGGCACTTTCCTTTCCCGGGGCTGCACCCTTCTTATCCCCAGGACTGACTTCTTTCCACAAACCCTCCCAAATGCCCACCTATTCGAAGCCCTCCCAGCCCACCAGAGCCTATGTCTGATCGTCTGTCTCTCTCCCTGGCTGAACTTGAGTGGCTTGGAGCCCAGATGGACTCCTTCTCACTGCTGGAACAAGAAGCTGCCAAAGTACCTGTCCTCTAAAACATTCACTGCTTACTGGAGACCCAGGCCCTGCCCCTGAAACCACCCACTGTGACAATAGCCAAATATTGGATACTGGTCAGGAGCGATTATGCAACCTGCTGGACACATTGATACTGGGAGTTAGGTGCTATTTCTAAATACATTTAAACTAAGGTATAAAATACAGTAAACTTTATGAAGCATACTAACTTAAGTGTTTGATGGTTGTCTCAGCTACTTGGGAGGCTAAGGCAAGAGGATCACCTAGCCCAGGAGTTCAAGGCCAGCCTGGGTAACATATTGAGAACCTACCTAAAAAAAAATTTAAAATAAAAAAATAAAGTATGAATACACCCATATAAACACTCTGAGGCAGGGTATAGGACATTTCTGGTACTCCAAAAAATTCCTAATGATCTTTCACAATAAATAACCTCTGAAATGCCTGGGTAGTGGCACATGCCTGTAATCTCAGCAACAAGAGAGAGGAAGGTAGGAGGACTGTAGGTTTGAGGCCAGCCTGGGGAATTTATCAAGACCCTGTCTTACCCAGGGGTGGTGGCACATGCCTGTAATCCCAGCACTTGGGAGGCTGAGGGAGGAGGATCACTGTGAGTTTGAGACTATCCTGAGCTATGCAGCAAGACCCTGTCTCAAAAAAAATTTTTTTTTAAGGGCTGGGGCTGTAGCTTAGTGCTAGAGCACGTGCTTAGCATGTATGAAGCCCTGGGTTCAATCTACAATCCTCAGTACCAAAACAAAGAAAAGTAGATAGAACTCAGACAATAGCTATTCTGATGGCAACCAATATAACTCACTTATGTTTACTCTGTATAAATTATTACCCTCATTTTACAGAATGAGAAACTAAGGCAGAGTGTCTCCAGACAGGGTCTGAGGAGGTCCCCCCAAGAGGAGATAGGGACCTCAACTCACCCTGGTAGGTCCACTGACTCATTGCAGAAAAGCATTTCACAATAAGTCAGTGTAAGGCATAGGTAGATTTATTAGACAGAGTTAGGAAGAAAAAAATAGAAAAGTGACTTCAGCTTGAGGGACTGATGGGGGCACAGGTCTGATGAAGAGGTTCAGGCTGGCCTGCTCACCAAAGATCATGCCCAGCCTTTATGGGTTAGCTGGGCAAGGGTCCAGTTGATCACCATCTCTGTTCTGGTTTTGCAAGATGGCTCTGGAGAGATCCTTATTGTTTGAGGGGCACTCGGTCTCCAGGAGATGACTGCTTGGGCAGTCTCAGGCCTGTGGAGGCTCTGCTGGCATCCAAAGTGGAGGTAAGTGTAGGGCAATGACTGGAGACTTCTGGGTGTTCCTGGTTGGATGTCCCTGTAAATTTCTTATCTTGGTGTTCTCAGTCTTGAAGGGGCATGAGATAGGTTATGTGAATTTAGGGCTAACCAATCTTGTTTTGCTAACTTTTAGACAGACACTCCCTAAAATTATTGATACCTATATGTAGAGCTGAGCAGGGATCTGACCTGAAATTTTAAGATAACAAAAGAGGCAGACACAATATGAAGGTTAAGCTTTGTTCTGCTTTTAGTTATCTAATGAGCATCTGTAGGCCCAAATGAAGTCTTGTATTTGTTTCTTTAGCTTGCTTTGTTTTAAAACCACTTTAAAAGTCCCTGACTACTGTAGAAAAAAATCACAAATCATGATTTTAATGAGTAACAGGTTAAAGGTCCAAGCATTTGTCTTCTGTCCCTATGGTGGTCTATGTCAGTCTGACTATGTCACAGAGAAATTAAGTTGGCCCAAGGTCCCAAGATCAGTGGCAGAGCTGACCCTAAAGTCAAGAAATGTGACTTCAGAATCCACATGTTTAACCACTAAATACAATAATTATGCAGTGATCCAGTGGGCAGTCTGTGAGAAGGCCCATGGCGATATATGAATGTTTCCTAGAGGCCAAGGCTTTGGGCTTTCCCCATCTGCTTCACAGGGAGGCCTGTCTTGTTCAGGGTCACTTCCCCCTATGGGCTGTGGCACCTAAACTTTCCTGGTGATTCATCCATCACCTCTTTTGTTTTGGTTTTTTGGTACCAGGGATTGAACTCAGGACCTTGTGCTTAAGACATAGGCAGCAGAACCACTGAGCTAAATCCCCAGCCCCCATCACCTCTTTTGATAACAGCCCCTCCACTATGGCCACAGGAAAAATAGGAGGTCTAAGAGCCCATCTGCCAAATGAGACTACTGATGTGATCCATCATCAAGGAATGAGGACAGATATTTTAACTTCAAGTTACTGATTCCTCTCAAATTGGCCTCCTTGTTGATCCCTGAAAATGTATACCCAATAGTGTACTTGGCATATTGAGCTTCCAGCATACATAAGTCCTGTGGCCAGCCCAAGTTAAGTAATGGGGTAAGACCATAACAACAGTGTGAATTCAGGGAGAGGAAAAGAACTGCTAGCAATGCAAGCTACTGCAGGCTGTAGGTGGAGAGTGGTTCCATTCCCTTAGACCTCAGCTGGGAGAGGAGGAAAAAATGGTATTTAGTCAGGACATGGTAGGTGTGAGGTGTCTGTGGGGTGCCACAGGGGACTAAGCTGAGCCTCAGGAAAGATGTCTGGGCAGAAAACAATGATTTGGGAGTTATCAGCTCCCAGTGGGAGTGGGTCAGATGTGCAGAAAGGACACAGAGTAAGACAGATGGGAACCCCCCCCACCACACACACACAAAGGGAAGTGTAAAGAACTAGTCAAAGACACAGGAGGGCCAGGGATGTAGCTCAGTGGTTTCGCCACCTTCCTTATAAGCGCAAGGACCCGAGTTCAATCCCCAATACAAAAAAAAAAGAAAAAAAGACACAGGAGACTAGAGAGGCATGTGGTAGATAGAAACCACTAGAACCTTTCTGGGAAGTGGGACATTTGACAGGTTACACGCTCCCATAAACCTTGTCACTCATGTGTAGAAGGTTAAACCCCAGCAAGAGGAGGCTCACTGGAGCCCCACAGAACTTTGTCTGTCTTGGTCAGCTCCTGATGCTACCACAAAATACTGTAGATGGATGGTTTAAAAAGCAGACATCTATTTCTCACAGTTGTGTAGGCCAGGAAGTCTAAGGCCTAAGCGCTGTCAGATTCAGTTCCTGGTTAGGGCTCTTTTCCTGCCTGGGGACAGCCACCTCCTCCTTGTTGCATGAGAGAGGAGAAAGAAAGGCTCTTGTGTTTCTTCCTTTTCTTATAAGGGCACTGGTCCCATTCACAAGGGCTTTACCTTCATAACTAATTACCTCCCAAAGGCCCCACCTCCTGAAATCATCACACTGGGGATTAGGGCTTCAGTGAATTTTACAGGGATATGAACATCCTGCCCGTAAAATTTAAGTGCTATTTAATCCTGTTTCCCAAACTGCACCAAGGTGCTCTGGGAAGCTGCAGGGAACCCATAGGGGTGCTGTGGATATTTTTCATTTTCTACAGAAACATGATTCTGTAGGGGCAGAAAAGGGGGTGATCCCTTCCTGCCCATTATAAAAGGCTGTGCTAAGACCACTATAACAAGACAGGTTAATAAGAGAAAGGTATGACAGATTTGTCTTAACATGTACATGTACAGGGGAACCACACAAAATAGGAAACTCAAGGAAAGGGCCAGATGGTTAGAGCTTAAATACCTTCTTCACCGGGGGTTGTAAAAACTACAGGAAAGTGAGGGGTGGAGCTTCACTCAACAAGGACTTTTTGTGTAGCTAAAACCTCGCCAGTAATGTCTGCAGCTGCACCTGAAGAGAAGAATCCACTGTTGGTTAGTATGTCCTGGTTATTTGATGAGATTACTAGAGAGGGGACTTAGGACCATTGTGTTTTTGAAGAAATTTTCTGTTAGGTAAGAGAACTTCAGGCAGAGTGAACCCCTCCCTGTACTTGGAAGAGAAACAAGAGGTCAGAGAGACCTGGGTTCCGAGACTGCTTCACTGGCTCAGAAAGCCAGAGTGCCAGCTTTTTTTTTTTTTTTTTTTGGTACCAGGGATCGAACTCAGGACCTTTTGCTTGCAAGGCAGGCAGCAGAACCACTGAGCTGAATCCCCAGCCCCAAGAGTGCCACCTTTTGTGGTATCAATTTCCTCTGAGCCCCCAGAACCCCAATAATACTTAGCATGTCAGGCACCATGTGAACTACTAAATTAAAGTGGTTCACAGTTCTACTATTAGGTTGTGGTACATCTCCTTCAAAACCTATCTTTGTGAAGCTATACTTTCAGCAACTTACAGCAAGCCTTTATAAACAAAAGTAATTACAAGCTATTGCTTATACACAAGTACTACATGAAAATCAAGATGAGACAGAAAATGGGTGCAGGCCAATCTGATCCCATAATCTGAGAACTTGTGCAGTGTCCAATAGGTACACACATCCCCTTAGTAAGTCGTTCTGATTAAGAATGAAATAAAGTATTATTTTCTCCTCCAATTTATGTGTACTATTTTCTTCGAACAGGTACTGTTATTAGGACATAAATATGGATTAAACTATTTGGACCCAAGGACTTGATAACAGAATACTAGGATTAACCAGATTGTTTCTTCTCTTGGCCAAGGAGCACCTAAAAATGCTTGCTGAGACTTTAGGATCGCTGTGCAGAGAACATTTGTACCCCAGATCTAGTTGATCATATTCAAAACTTAGCTAACCCACAGCCTACTGTCCTGGCCCCGGATGAGCTTCACTTGGATGGACTCCAGTTCAATGCAAACAGCACTGCAAGGAACACTTTACATCCAAAAGTAGGATTTCTATTATGTGTGCCAAAGTAATTTGACCAGGACCTACTGAATTACCCTGAGGATGGCCAGTCAATGTGCCCACCTGGAATGCGCAAGGATGGAGAAACAATACTGCATTCTTATAGACATTAGCCTACATTTTCTTCTCATGGTAACTCTTCGATTTCTTATTTACTCAGTTTTCTTTGAATCTAAATGTTTTTCAGCATAATAAATTACATCAGAAATCAGTGAAAACCAATCCATTTGAGGATAAATACTAGATGTCAGCTTTTCAGAGAAAACTAAACTTCATCTAGTAAGCATTATAGTGACTCACTGTAAAGAAAACAAATAAATGTAAATCCAATTCTTAATCGTTTCCAATGAAATAACACCAAACATTTCTTCAGTCTTTCAAGTTTTTGCAGTCATATCCAACATTAATTTTTCTCAAAGTTAAACTTTTTCTTTACAAAAATTCTGAAGAAAATGTCCTTACTTCATTGACACATTATTTTTTAAATTTTTTGGCTGAGACAGGGTCTTGCTATGTAGTCCAGGATGGCTTTGAATTTGCTATGTAGCCTAGGCTGGCCTCAAACTTGAAATTCTTCTGCCTCAGCCTCCTGAGTGCTTGGGTTACAGGTATACACTATTACACCCAGCAAGATACATTATTTTATTATTTGTCTCACTGTTTTCCAGGCTGGCTTTGAACTCCTGGACTTATCCTTCTGCTTCAGCCTCTCAAGATGCATTTTTAAATTCCAGTAATATTTTACTTTATTAATGTTAACAGTAGTTGATAAGCTGTTTTAATCCTGCACATCTTTAAATTTGCACTTATTAGTATTGATAATTATTGAAACTATCCAGGCTTATATATAATTTTTCTGAATAAGTAGGTTTTTTTGTTGTTTTTTCTGAATGAGCAGTTTTAAAAGTGAAAAGTTGGGAGTATATTGGCAGCTTAGATTCCTATCCCTTCTACTTCCAAGATAAACATTAAGGAATGAAATAGACAAATTGATTATAATTCAGATTCGCTAATTTATTGTATGTATCTAGAATTTTATATATGGGGATGTTAGAAACTAAGTATTTCTTTTGTCTTCCATCTCAGAGGTGGTAAAATTATTTGTGAGATCAATGGGAAGCTCTTACAGAGAAAATAAATATTTTGAATATAGCTCCTGACACAGCAAATTGAAGACTTGTTTGTCTGGGTTGGGACTATGGGGGTGGGCCAGGCTCTAGTTAAATAAGTAACCCATGAAGCTGAAGTTAAGATTTTCAAGAGAACTAACTTTGTGTTTACATCTGGTGAAAAGTTTGATATTTAAGCAAACCAATTCTAAGGAGCTCTGAAGGAAAAAGTGCTTGTCCTCACCAAAGTGTAAGTCTGCTGTTCATACTCACTATAGAGCAAATTTGGTTTAGGTTTTTTTCCCCCACTGGTGGTGGGAGGCATGCTTAGTGAGGCCTGCATCTTGCAACTGTGGGGACAAGGCCACGGGACAAGGGAGTGCTGTGTCTACCCCTCACTCCAGCCCCAGGTGAGGGAATAAACATGGCCAGGACAGAGAAGAGGTCTGCTGGGTCAGAATACAGGCATGGGGGCTCTGAGCAGCTCTTGGGTGGGAGAAGCCCCCTTCCAGGGCAATGATGCAGGCTATGCCTGCATCGTATGTCCGTAGAGCTAACAAAAAGGACAAACCACGTCACCTTGGAGACCATGACAGTTAGTTAAGTCACTACTGAGGTGGGGCACAGAGAAGACCAGCAACGCAAAAGCTGGCCCTCAGAAAAAAACAGTCACCAAGATGAGATCACACACATCTTCTACATCCATTGCACCCCTCATTCACAAGGCCACTGTCCCCCAGAAGTTACATAATGATCTGTGGCCTGGGTGACCCATGCAACTACTGGGGCATGACAGGGGCCGCTCAAAGCCCCACCCACCCCTATACTGTGTTACAGGGTTCACACTGTCCAAATTAGTTGAAGTGACTTGATTTGTTCCCCTGGCCCCTCGCCAGAGCTGATTGTTCCACATGGAATAGCTTCTGTAGTGTCCCTCTCTGGCCACCAGAGCAGGACTGTCTGGGTAGTGCCTTGAGCCAGGGCCTCAGTTCCCAGGGTATTCGAAGACAGCAGCAGCTCCCATTCCGGTCCCAATGCACATGGACACCACTCCATAAGCCCTGGGGAAACAAAACCGCATTGGTTTGTCAGAGGCCCAATGTCCAACACCCCAACCAGGCCAAACTGCATGGCCCTGTTGGATACAGAAGATGCAAAATCAGCAGACCAGACCCGTGGGAAACTGTCCCCACTGTCCACCTAGACACATTCTCAGGGTAGCTGACACCCTCTGAGGGCTGGGATTGCTTTCGAGCTTGGCCCTCAGGGAAGGCACAGATTATGCCCTTATAGCCAGTTCAGAGCTGTGTATGTATGTTCACCTCCCCAACCTCCATAAATTCAGACACCCTACAAGGCATAACCTTACCTCTTCCCACGGCGCTTCAGCTCGTTGAGCAGCGTGATGACCTGTCGAGCCCCAGTACAGCCCAGGGGGTGGCCCAGAGCCACTGCCCCCCCAAGAGGGTTCACCTTCTCAGGGGGGATACCCAGCTTCTCCACACAGTAGACAGCCTGGAAAGACCCAGAGTAGCAGCTAAAGCCTATGTCCCACCCTCGGCCAGGCCTGACAGCTCCCTACCCCTGTACTGCCCAGACCCAGCCGACAGTGAGAGGCAAGGCTTACCTGGCTTGCAAAGGCTTCATTGATCTCAAAGATGTCTACATCATTCACTGTCAGCCCTGCAGGCAAGGTACAGACCTGAGCTCACAGCAGCCTCTAGGTAGGCCTTGGGGTCTCCCTGGGCCCCGTCCCATGCAAAGGCCCACAGTGCCTAGCATGTCTGTCTTCTGGAAGGGTGAGTGGTTCCCAGCTGTTGGGTCAGAGAGGCTTGGGAATGAGGTGAGAGCTTGCTCTACTTTCACTCTGTAGTACCCACAGGGCCACCCACCCTGTGCCCACCTAGCCCCAGCAGTGCAGGAGAGGGACATAGGATTAAGGTGTGACAGAGCTGCCTTACCTGCTTTTTGCAAAGCTACAGGGATGGCATAGGCAGGTCCAATGCCCATGATGTCAGGCGGGACCCCAACTACTGCATAGGACCTCAGGACTCCAAGGATAGGGAGGCCTAACTCTTCTGCCTTGGACCTCCGGGCCAGCAGGATGGCAGCTGCCCCATCACTCACCTGGCTAGAGTTTCCTAGAGGCAAACAGTTGGGGTGGGGAGGCATCAGGGTGAGGCTGAGAAGAACCAGCCCTTCCATGGTCACCTTGCCATGGTGCCTGGTCTGCTTGAGGCTCTCAGAGAATAGCCACCTTGGCTCCAGCCCAGGCTTACCAGCTGTGGTGGAGCCACCGTCCTTAAAAGCAGGCTTCAGCTTGGCCAGGCCCTCCATGGTGGTATTGGGCCGGATGCCCTCATCCTGTGAGACGGTGATGGTTTTCTTGGTGCCCTTGTCATCTTGTATGGTGGTGGTCACAGGCACAATCTCAGCACGGAAACAGCCCCTGCTCTGGGCTCTTGCTGCCCTGCCAGCACCATCAACAGCCAGGCTCAGGCTCCCCTAGGCTTTCCTTCCTTCCTCTCGTTGCTTTTTGCCAATTCCAGCAGACATGTAACCTCAGGCTGCTAAATTCAGGGACATGCCTGGCCCTGAGGGAACTCAGAGGGACTTCTGGGGGTTCCTCAGAACCCCGGCCTGTTCCTGTGAGGCAGAAGCATACCCAAGGCCTTCTAGGCCTTCTTTGAGATCAGCCCCAGATGTCCACATCAAGGCTGATCCCATCCTTGCGGGGGGGGGAGGTTTGGAAGTGGTGACCATTCACCTTATAGCCCTTCATCCAAAAAGGACTAAGTTGCTCAGTTATTTTTGACACTTAGGCTGGAGCAACATGAATATCTGTCCTAGCTTTCCTGTTGGACCCCAACACCTGAATTTCACCCATTGCTCAGTTTCTCCAAATTTAGAGTGATATAGACTAACCTCTTTGATGTATTTCCATATTTAAAGAGTGGTGGAGCACAAGGTATGTTAGGGTGACCCTTGCAATCTTGTACAAAATACAAGTACCCACAGACATTATAGTGGGAAGGAATCCGAAGCTTCCAACAAATGCTCAAATGCTTACCTGGTCCCAAGAGGCTAAGTTGAGAATCCCTGCCTTGGAGAGGCACACCTGGCCCAGACACCTCGCTTCCTTTACTGTCCACTCTCTGCAAGGCTGGGGGTGTCTAACCTTGCCTGCTGCCACCCAAAGGCCTGAGCCCCTAAGTTTCTCTGATGTTAGTCTCAGCCTAGCCTCAGGATGCTTCCCCAGACCCAGCACTGCTCCAGAACATAACATGGCAGGGCCCTAGCATCCTGAGCCCCTACTCCAGGCCCCCAGAGAAGTCAGTGGCTACCATGACCAGTCACCAAGCCACCATCAGTTAGAAAGGAGTCCTGGCCCCCATTATGCCCCATACTGAACAGATGAGGAAGTGGCACCCAGCCAGGAAGAAGACAGTGTGGACAGTCAGCCAAAGGACCTAGAAAAGCCACCAAACCCCACAATGGTGCTGGCCCCTTTGCACCTCTAGCTAGAAGGCACAGGCCTGCAAAGCCCTCCTCGACAGTTGAATCCTCAGGACAGCTCCACCTCAGGTCACCCAAGATGGCCTCAAGACCTCACTCTTCAGCCCTTTCAAGGTCCCACCCTCAGCAGTACTCACTTCTGCTGGGAGGCCAGTGCAAAAGTATCCTGCTTCTCCCTGGAAATGCCAAACCTCTCAGCCACGTTCTCCGAGGTTAGCCTAGGACACAAAGGGCAAACTAGCATGTATGGGTCTGGCAGACTGAGGGCCAGGATCCTCCAGGGCCACAGGGAAGGAGGGCTAGTCCATGCCACAGACAGTAGTGAGGACTCAGGAGGTAGCACTCCCTGCCCCAAGATGTGTGTGGGCACAGACAAGGAGTAATCACTGCTGGGCACATACCCCACAGACACCCTCACCAAGGGTAGGGTAGCCCACACGCAGACAGTGCAAAGGGGATTTGTTCCCTCAGTGAGTTGCCTCAGCACAGACGAGATGGGTAGTGGGGTTTGGAGGGGTGCTGCTAACTGGTAACGCTTGACCAACCGCCCCTATACCTGGAGGACAAGTGCTTTCATGTGGGGAGATGAGGCTGCCTGTGTCACCGCTGGAACAGCTGCACCTTAGCCTTCTGCATACCTTACCGGGGTCTGTTCTTATCCTAAGAGCCTAGAACCATAGCTGGGCCTTGCAGCCTGAGCTCTGGTTTTCCAGGCTGTCGCTGGGGATACAGTATATGAAGAAGCCAAGTACGTGGAGAACCTTAATCTCCTAATACACCCATTGGAGCCAGGACACCCTGCCTGTGAGTCCTGGGGTGGCCCGAGCTCAGGCACCAGGGTGCTGGTCAAAGACAACACATTTGCCATGTCACCTGTCAGTGCCCAAGATCTCTTACCCAGATGATCAGGAATCAAAACCTCCCCTTTTGACTCTCTCGGCCTCCAAGGCTTTAGGAGACAGCTGCCATCATCCTCCACAAAAATGAGTATTTCGGAGGGTGACACGGGGTGGGCTGTGTTTGAAACCACTTGGGGGCATCAGGAATAAAAGCCAAGGGCACAATCAAGAGCCACATCCAGGGCAGATGACACCCAAGGAAGCAGGCCCAGCCACAGAGATGAGAGAGTTCCCGAGCCCCTGCTCCAGGACAAGCAGAGCGCTGAGGAACACAGCACACAGAGCTAAGGGTGGGAACTCACCCCATAGGTATCAGGCAGTCTCTGGCCTTCTCATTTTCCAGCAGGGATGAAGTAATATTTCCAGGATTCCCTCTCTCGGCCAAGGACATGGACTCCACCCTGAGGAGAAGGAAGAGGAGCCCTAGTAGGAACCCCCAGGGATGGCTGAACACATGGAGCCCTTGAGACACCAGCGGGTGGTCTGGGAGGCATAGCAAGGCACGTGGCTGGCAAGGCAGAGCTGGGGCTGCAGAGCTGCAGAAACCTGTCTCTACTTCTTTCCACCGGGACAGAGAACTGCACCGGCCACACATCCTGGGGCAGGGTCACGCTTCCCTGTACAACTGCTGACTTAGCCAATCATCTGTTTTTGGGGAAAGCCTTCCAGTGGCACAGTGCAGGAAACACATCCAATGTGCCTAGGCCCTCCCCTCAGGTGCAGAGGGAAAAGAGACAAATATAAATCTTTTTCTTTTCGTACTATGGGTTCAACCCAGGGCCTGTACTGAGCTACATCCTCAGCACTTTTTTCATTTTTATTTTGAGACAGAGTCTCACTAAGTCACTAAGTTGTCCAGGGTAGGGTCAAACTTGTGATCCTCCTGCCTCAGTTTTGCAGAGTGCTGGGACTACAGGCATGTGACACCATGCCCAGCTGAGACAAATGTTTTTAAAGTAAGCATAGATCTCGCATCAAATAGTCTGCAAACATGTGAGGTGCAAGGGGCCAACAGGAAGGGAAGATGGCCAGTACAGAGAGACAAAAGAGAAAGGTCAGGCGCGTGGCCTCAAGAAAGATAACAGGTTCTTGACTGAGTACTTTCTGCCCCAGAACTATTTTCAACTCGTTTCAGGCATGAGTGCGCTAAAAACTGTCAGCCACATAATGCATGCTCCATGGTGCTAGATGTGATATGGCTCCATTTAATCCTCTTACAAACCTGAACAGAGCTGAGGTAGGTATAACCTTTTATATACAAGGGCACTGATATCCTCAGTGGTGTGGAATTTGTTCACAGCCACCCATTTTGACCCCAATTTAGTATACCCAGCACTCACTCCCACCACTTTGGACTTCCAGGGTAACACTGCATGCTGAACCCCACAGGGACCATCAGATTGTGATCTCCTATATCCGTAATAACCCAGCCATTGACCCTTAACCTACTTGGGAATCAGAAGCCCCCTCAGGAACTTTTATGAAGGCTCCAGCCCCTCTCGTCAAGTTACCCACACCTGCTCTTCTCCCAGTGAGAAAGGAATGTGAAAGACATCAAAGGGCAGGATAGGCAGTGGACTTTGTCGTGCCAGAGTCCTTGTTTGTGGCTATTCTCCAACTGAGACATAGGTCAGGACAACCTAGTGCCATGTACCCCTGACCTGCTTAGGGGCCAGCAGTGCTTCCTGTCAAGAAACTTGACAGAGGATCTGAAAGGCAGCAGAACACATCAGAACCCAGATGCTCACCTCCTGAGCTTGCCTGCCTCACACCAGATGCCCCTAGCCTGGCCCCCAGTGCCCTTCTCTTCCCTGGAGGCACTGCTAAATGCTGCCAGCAAAGACAGCCAAAGTCTGGATGGAGGTGGCAGTGACCAAACCATCAGAGATCTGACTACGGTATGTCCCTCAAAAGCTAGAAGGCATTCCGATATTTCCACGTGGGGACAAGGGCAGGGACAAGGGGACAGACAGCTTCATAAAATGAACAGTTATAAAGCAGGAAGCTGTCCCTGGCTTTGGGGAACCAAAACTGCCACTCCACTCTCAATAGCACTGAAAAATCAAAAGTGACACAAGAGATTACAAGTGCTCTATTTTCTCAGTGTGCTTGCCCATATTTCCAGCCTGACAGGTTTCTAAGAAAGAAAGCAGAGACCTACTGTCCTTCCCCCACTAGTGCCCACATGTGAGCCATTCCCGAGCAGCTGGCATTGGGGTCACTTCTAAGCTGTATTTGTGTGAACCACCTTCCAGCAGCTGCCCAGAGAGGTTAATGGAGAACCCTGATATCACTGCCTGAGAGAACTGAGAAGAAGAGAGTTAGTTTGATCATCAAAGTTGGTTAATAAACCCCAGCAAAAATAAATTCTTACCCACAGGCCATGCCAATGTCATAAGACCCATTTCTGATGCCACCTGCAACAAAAGCATTTCATAACCATTCTTGGCCAGAGGGCGTCTGTCCTGGGAGCAGCAAGGTCCCTTCCCCACCTGTTTTCTAAGTGAGACTCAGCACAGTCTCAAAGACAAAGACCCAGGGGAATCCAAAAAAGACCTGGGGCAGTGGCAAGGGCTGCTCTTGCACTCCTTCTATGCTCAGAGTTCTGGCAGAAATGCATATTGCTGGCCCAGAGCAGCAACATTATGGACCCAAACCTGTGGGGTCAGCAGCAAGGCCAGGCCATGACCACGGGTACCACTTGTCCACAACTTACCAGCTATGTTGGCCACTGCCTGCAGTCCCGATGAGCACTGTCTATTGACAGTGGACAAAGGCACAGTTTCCGGGATACCACTGCAACAGAAGGGGAGATGGCACAGTCAGTCCCCTGCCCTGCCAGGCTCTCGTGGAAAATAGGCCTATACCCCTGGGCCACACCACTGTCCTCGATCAGAGGGTGTGTAGGCCGGGGGGGACAACCACTCTTTTTCACAGTACTGGGAACTGAACCCTAGGCCTTTGCACTGAGCTACATCCCTAGCTCCTTTCCTATTTTAAGGGCCTCACTAAATTGCCAAGTTGCCCAGGCCAGGCCTGAACTTGAGATCCTCCTGCATTAGTCTCTTGGGGTACTGGGATTACAAGTCGATGTCACCAGACCCAGCCCAACCTGGCAGATCCATGGAACCTGGGGTGGGCAGCTCTGGGCAGACCCTGTCTCTGAAGACGATTTCTCTCATAAGCACATCCCCTCCCATCCTATGATTCTCCTCAACCCAAGGCAAGGGAAACCTGTCTGGACCATAGGGAACATTTTGTCCCTCCCTCTGAAGATTCAACAATGAAAACTAGACATCTCTGTTTCCTTCAAAGAATAGAACTGTGAGACTGTTGCTGGGACAGGATCAAAGAAGAAAAGCAAACAGCCCCACCCCTCAACCTTAGTATCTATCCTCTCACAGCTGGGCCTTCAGTTCCCAGCTGCAGGAAGAGCTCTGATAGGCACCACTGTTCTACCACCCCTTCTCTGAGGCTCCCCTGGTGCTCACATTGGGCCCAGCTGCGGGAGCTGGCAGGGCTGCCCTCAGGATATGTAACCTGCCTTGATCAACCGAACAAAGCTCTGGGGACATTTCCAGCTTTCTTCACACCCACTCAGCACCTCTGGGAATGAATACAGCCTGGTGATTCTGATGTGTGGGTAGGTTAGGGAATCCCTGTACCAGGGGCAGGGCCAGGTTCTGCAGAAGGCCCCCTAGGTGGATGGGCTCCTAGACCTGCCAAACTCCTCCCAGTTTTCACCAAATACCTATGGTACATGAGGCACCACCTAAAGGATGCTCAGATGCTTACAATACTGAGCCCAGAGGATGCCCAACCAACACACAGAAAATGAATCCACTAACAGGGACTGCAGTAACAGGGCTTATGTCACAGCCACATCACAGAGAAGTGGCAGCTACCGGAGCAGAAAGTCTCTCATCTGAAGTCCAAGAGTTCAGGGAAGCCATGCCCAAATGGTGAGACTGTTTAGGCAGGGTTTAGCTGGGGCAGAGACAGAAGGGGGGAACAGCACCCCAAGGGGCAGAATGAACAGTACAGGGAAGACAGTAGGCAGACAGACTGGTTGAAGGACAAAAAGTCCAGGTGAGTAAGCAGCTGGGATGTAAGACGGGAAGGTAAATCTACAGACAGAGAGAGACCTTGAACTGCACCCTAAGCAGTCTGAACCTCACTCAGATCAGGTTTTTTTTTCCTATTCTGTCTCTCGCTCGTGTTTCTACAGTATTATTTCTACTACATGCAGCTATAAGTACAAAGTCACATGTTAAAATAATTTAAACACTGGTTCCCAACCTTGGGAGAGCAAGAGCTGAAGGGCAAGGTGACTAGAGCTCCTTTTGGGCTCCATCCTCTCACCTCCTCCAAGGTTCTGCCCTATGCTTAAGCCTCTGCTGATAGGCTGGTAGGGACTACAGTTCCTGGATGCTCAACTTGCAAAGGAAGCAAAGTCACGGTTCAGCCTGTTTGTGTGGTTATTTTCCTGCCAATGAGGACAGACTCCACACTCATCAAAGGTAAGCAACAAGTTGGCTTTGACTCAAAATCAAGGCACAGAAAACCTTAGCTCCGGTCCCAAAGTCCTATGTGTCTCGGTTCAGGGCAGGGCAGCACAATACCTCCCAAAGTAGGGGAAAGGTTGGGTCCACAAGAGTGGGGTCGTAAAGACTCTGGTTACCTCACTGTGTGGTGTCCAACCTCATTCTCCACTACCTGTAGGCTGTATTCTCTGCGGCCAGAACCCGCTCAAGAGATACAAAGGGCAACCCACAGCCAGAAGTAAAAAAAAATTACCTCAGAAACTGGGCAATCCGGGCCACCAAGGCCCCAGCCCCAGGCTGAAGCACATTTCCTACGGACAAAAAAACCCTTTATTTAGAGCAGTACAGTACAGCTATGAGTATCAGGGAGGACATATTCTAGGTCTTTCTTCAGGAACTTAGCCCTCCACAGGATCATTTGAGGCTCTAGAATTTCAGGGTCTGAAGAGAGTGATCCCACAGCTTGTCCTGTCATAAACCAGCCCCAGTAGCAGAAGGTCCCAAATTTGCTTCTCCTATACCCCACTCTTTAAATCAGCAGAGGTGGCCTTCCCTTCAAAGTTAGGGGTTAGAAGGCTTTAAGGAAAGAGGAACCTTACAAGGCAAAGCTTCAAGTCTAACAAAACTGGTCCTGTGATGAGGGAAATGACATTCTGAAAATGGACACTTCCACCAAGTATTCTCCTCCTAGGCTTGCTGGAGGAAGAAACCATGGTTCCCAAGCTGGCACCCGTGAATGAAACTGTGATCCATACTGGTTATATTTCAAGGGAAGAGGGATAGAGTGAAAAACAAGGTTGGACAGAAGGTCCAGGCTCTGGGTTCACATCCCAGCTTCAGGGCAAATTCGCTGAGCCTTAGTTTCTCCATCTGTACCTGAGCTGCTGTACTAGAGGGTTTCTGACATTCTCCCTCTTCTCTCCGCACGTCAGGGTGGTAGAGAACCCTGCCTCCTGTCTCCTAGGTTGTCTGGGAGCCCCTGGGTGTGAGAACGTGTCCGCTTAGGATTCTTGTTTTCTGTCACCCCTAATAGGGAGGCACGTGCGGGAGTGTCTGAGGTGAGGATGACTGTGTCACAGGACGCCCGCAGACAGTGGAGTCCACCGCCTGTCCTATCCGTGAAAACTAGGGCTGAGAAGTGTGGGCTCGGGAGGACGGGGGGGGGGGGGCGGTGGCGGACTCACCCACGGTGATGTCTCCCAGCAGCTCGGGCCTCAGCTTCACGTCCTGCAGAACCGCGGTCAGGACGGCTGCCAGGAGCTCGTCGGGGGTGGTGTCCTGCAGTGGGATGCAGCCCAATGAGCCCGGCTGCCACACCCCCGGCCTAGGGAGGATCCCAGGCCGCACACGGTCGTTTCACCCCGGCGCTCGCCCTAGGGCCTCACCTTGAAGCCGCCGCGGCCCGCTCGGCCAATGGCTGTGCGGCGTCCGTGCACCACCACCACGTCCGCGGCCGAGGCCGGCGGGAAGCCACTGAGGCACGGCTCGGCTTGCAGCGCCAGGTTCGACTGAGGCCGACCGCTCAGGTGGCCCAGCACCACTTGCAGCCTCAACATCTCGCCACTTGCGGACCTGCGCAGCTAATGATCAGGATTCAGCGAACAGCCACACAGAAAGAAAAGCCTCCGCCCACGCAGATGCAAACTGCTCGGCGCCCGGAAGAGGGTCCGACGCAAACAGCCCTTCTTCAGAGGTCACGCCCACCTTTGCCACAGCCAACCAGAAGAAGGAACTGCCTGAGGACACGCCCTCGCCGCCAATCACTTCGTCTCACAAGCACCGCCTAGGTCTTTCCACACAAAGTGCCACCTACTTGGCCTTCCGGTTCGCCTAGAAAATTTCCCCCACTTTCACAACCTTTTGTTGCCAAACCTGAGGCCAAGCTTTAGCCTGGGCGTCTGGGAGGGAACCTGGCCTAAACTGGGACACACACACCCCCCGCCAAAGTCCCGCCCACTGCCCTGTGCCAAATGGAAACCTGGGCCGCCAGGACCCCTGCGAGCGCTTTCTGGAAGTGGGTGCTGAAGGCCGTCGGGACTCGAGCTCTTGTTCCACTTTCTTGTCAGCTGGGCAGTGCCCCGGGCCCCAGGACCTGAGCCCGAAGACCTAAATACTTCCAAGTCGCTGGCATCTGCTCGAGGTTGCTTCTCTCGAGGTGTCTTTCCAGGAGACAGAGGGAATTTGAGACTCCCGGACTGCACGGAGGAAGGATTTTGCTAAAATACGCGCTTATTTTTGTGGAGACCACCTTACACTTACACCAGTTTTGCACCCGCATGGGCGATCTGATCTGTGCTCACCTTCCCCGCTAGGAGGAAGGCAACGATACCAAGGCAAAAGGTACCCTGTATCCGGGTGCCTGCAACGTGCTTGACACTGCGGTGATCAGTAAATAAATACGTGTTGAAAGAACCGGGGCTCCCAGGTCTGGACTGCAAGACTAGGTGAACCCCATTCCCAGGGGCAGGGGGCCATGTGTTTACCTGAGACTTTGGAGGGTGCTACTAGGTCTGCTCCAGACCGGGAAGGACAGGCTACTCAGTGAATCCCAGCCCTGGGGAAATCCACCCCCCGCCCCGCGCCCCACTTTGAGGGCTCAGACTCCAGAAGTCTGCGAGCCCCTTCCCATTCCTGTCCCCATGCACAGCTGGTCTCTCCCTGTGCTTCTACTGGCAGGATCGAGTGGCCTCAGGATTGTGTGGCCCCAGAGACCAGGGTGGACCTGATACCTCCCCTTGGTCTTCCGCCTGCCATTCTCGGCAGCAGGACCCCTCCCCAAGGGAAGGTTTCCTACAACCCCCTCGAGGGTCGCTTCCTCTCGCCCCCGCCCCAACCCCACTACCAGCAGTCGACCTCCCCAAACCTCAAAGGGCAGGTTTTGAGTTCTCACGCCGCTCCCAGGCCGCGAGAGCAGGAAGGGGCGCCCCATTCCGGCACCCCGCGCGGGGCGGCGCTTCTCGGAAAGCGAAAGCGGGCGGGGCGGGCGGAGCCCGAGAGGAAGGGGAAGCCAGGCCAGCGACGCTACTCGAGACTGGGCAAGCATGGCTTCGTGCGTCCCCGGAGAGGGATCTGCGCCCCAAGCCGTATCCACATCTTCCCTGCCCCTTGCTGCGCTTAACGTTCGAGTGCGCCGACGCCTGTCGCTGTTCCTGAACGTGCGGACGCAGGTGGCGGCCGACTGGACGGTGCTGGCAGAGGAGATGGGCTTCGACTACTTGGAGATCCGACAGCTGGAGACGCGTGTCGACCCCACCGGCAGCCTCCTGGACGCCTGGCAGGGACGACCCGGAACGTCAGTGGGCCGGCTGCTTGAGCTGCTCAATAAGTTGGGCCGCGACGACGTGCTGGTGGAGCTGGGGCCCAGCATTGGTGAGGACGCCCGCTTCCTGGCCTTGTATCCCAGTGGGGGAGGCTGACCTCACCGGTCTCCGCAGCCAGTCTCACCAGGATAGACCCTCCTTCCAGAGAAGGGACGAGGCGTGGGGATGGGGGAGGGCGGTAGCTGGGGTAAGCCTGCGCTACTGTCTGTCAGTGTCCCTGAAAGGTGGGGATGACCCGGAGATGGGGAGAAAGTAGGGGATGAGTTTAGGCAAAGGCTTTTGGGTTGGGTCAGAAGTCAGAATCAGGCTTCTCTCGGGGCATCAGAGCTATGTCAGGCAGAGAAATATGACAAGTGAGGGAATAGCAGCCTATGGTCTAGGAAGCCTCAGGTGCCCGGGAAATGCAGCCCTTTCTGTCACTCACGGGCATTCCCATAAGGTACCTGCACAGGCAGTCAGCAGGTGCGCCTTCTGGTTAGGGACTGCTGCCTTCACCAAGACATAAACCTGGCCTTTTTTTGCCAGTTCCCTGCTCACATTTATCCTAGCTCCTGGAAGAATCAGACCTTGCTTCCATTGTAGGGTCCTAGGAAGGGAACCAGGACAAGGGATACAAGAGACACAAGCTTCACCTTGGTGGCTTCCCAGATGTCCATAACACCACTGACATCCATTTGGGAGGACCTGAGCCCTGGGGATGGAGGGTGGAGGGTATGCTCAGCTTGTCAAAGCTGTAAAACTGACCAATGTCTGGTAGGTGGGAGGTGGGACAAAGGCGGCATCCTGGCGGAGGTAATTTAGAATCCTGGACTGTGTGGAAAAGGATTTTGCAAAACCTTGGGTGGAGGGTTAGGGCCCCCTTGGTAGACTGACTCACCCTATCTCTTCCCCTCAGAGGAGGATTGCCAAAAGTACATTTGGAAGCAACAGCAGGAGGAGTCTGAGAAGCCCTTACAAGTGGCCAGAGTAGACAGCAGTGTCCCACGAACAGAAGAGCCTTTTGGCATCACCACCCTTGATGACCCACTGGGTAAGGGATCAGTACTGTTCCATGGCACAGATGGGACAGGTGGAGCATAGGCAGAGCATGGACGTTGCAAGCAGATGGGCTGTGGGTCCTTGGGCAAATCACTTTACTGCTCTGAGCTTAAGTTTCCCCACCTAAGAAATGGTGTAATCATCTTATCTCTGAATTGCTCTGAGACTCTCATGAAATGATGTGTCTGTGTTATGGCTAACTCAGGCTTGTCCCCAGGAGGGCTCATCTTTCTTTTGATGGGAAGGGCACTTTTTCATGTGTGTCATGTCACTGTGGGATGGGTGCAGGGCTCAGCGCCAAGTTGCCTAGATGGGAGACTCCTGGCTGGACTCCTCCCTGGCAGTCTGTGAGCTCTGACCATCACTCTTGTGCTCTGCACCCAGGCCAAGTGCCAGAGCGATTCGATGCCTTCATCTGCTACTGCCCCAGCGACATCCAGTTTGTGCAGGAGATGATACGGCAACTGGAGCAGACAGACTATCGGTTGAAGTTGTGTGTGTCTGACCGTGATGTCCTGCCAGGCACCTGTGTCTGGTCCATCGCCAGTGAGCTCATTGAGAAGAGGTTGGGTAGAAGTCCAGGGGGTAGGTGGGTGGTGTGCAAAACCCAAATGCTGGGATTTTCCTGCCTACCCTAGCATAAGAGGACCCCTGAGGCTGTCCCCGGGGAGGTATGCAGAAGTGAGTTACCACAGTCTGCAGCCTGCCCACTTTCCCTTAGGTGCCGCCGGATGGTGGTGGTTGTCTCAGATGATTACTTGCAGAGCAAGGAATGTGACTTCCAGACCAAGTTTGCTCTCAGCCTCTCTCCAGGTAAGCTCAGCCCTATCCTGGCCAGAGAGGAGTGGGTAGATGGAGCCTTAAAATACCAGCCTTCCCTGCCTCAGGGATGTAGAATTAGCCCAAGAAACAACTACAGATCTCTGTGTACCGAAGCGAGTGTGTGGTTGCACCTGTGTGCCTCTCTATGTAGTACTACCTAGCTGAGGAAGAGTTGGTGTTATTCCTTGGTTTGGGGACTGGGACTATTTCATTACATCCTGGTGACAGCACTGCACCCTTGGTTGGCAGGTGCACATCAGAAGCGATTGATCCCCATCAAGTACAAAACAATGAAGAAGGAGTTCCCCAGTATCCTGCGGTTCATCACAGTCTGCGACTACACCAACCCCTGCACCAAGTCTTGGTTCTGGACCCGCCTTGCCAAGGCCCTGTCCTTACCCTGAAGATAGCTCTGGGACCCTGCAGGTGCCTGCATCTATCTGCCTGTTTGTGCTCTTCTGCTGCCTCTTCTGTTTGTAGGAGGAATCTGTGTTCTACATGCCTTTACATTGTAGGGGTGCCAGCTGCCGACACATCTGCATGGACAACAAGTCTTAGGTCTTGCATTAAACCAGTGGCTGCAAGTGGCCAGAACAGTGATGAACAGGATCAGTTGGGACTAATTAGAGGACCAGCCAAGCCACCTTGAAGCCATTCATACATTTTCAGCCTGATTTTCCCCATCTGGGAAATAGGATGTGGGGATCAGGCAGTCAGATTCCTTTGAATCACTGCAGCAAGTGGTGAAGCGGTGCCCTGGCTCTTCTGTGGGAGAGCTGGCCTCTCCAAGACTACATGATGACCACTGCTGGAACTAGGGGCCAGCTGGTACCTCATTGCCACCCTGCATCCTCTTTCCTCCTCTTCATAAGACAGATGGGGAAGCAGGCTGATCCCAGCGGGGTATCCCATCTTGAGCATGATTCTCTAATGGGGCCTCCTCTTATCTGGATCTTTGACTCTTCCCAGCCTCTGCCCTACCTTCAGTAGTGGCAAGGCCTCAAGATCCCTGAGCAGTCCCCTGAGCAGCTGGGGCCGCTTTTACTTCCACCTGTCCAGATACCTGTGAGCGTACCTCAGTTCTGTGGATAGGATAGGATTCTGGCCTCTGGCATATCCATCAGATAGGTGCTCTGGGGCTGGGTCACCAGGGCAGTGTCACAGGGACCCTTTTTCCCTGGGACACCCATAGAGAGCTCCCTTGATTGCCTTGTTTGTTGACAAACACAAGGGTGTTTCACCTCAAAGCTTGTGCTTACATGGCCACATACCATCTTGCTCACAGACACAGATAAGTGCATAGTGCACCTCCCACAAGTGTGAGTCCCACCATCTGGGGGATCTGACCATGTTTCTGAATAAAAACGGGGCACTCTTGATTCCTCTTCTTTCTTTTCTATACTCACTGAAACCAAACTCTGGAAAGGCCAGATGTGCCAGCATTTATACCTTCAGTGAAGTGAAAGCAGAGGAGAGCTGCTTGGCTTCACAAAGTAAGTGTGCTGTAGACCTGGCTGTTTTCTTCCTCATGAGGCAGTTTGTACATTCCCATCAAGCTGTGTATCAGGGAGAAAATGTCATGGTCCCAGGTCTCTGGGCCCCAGGGTAGACTCCAGAGCCCCACATTCAATAGTGAGTAAGTGTCTTCTCTGCTTTACCTTCAGCCAGGCTGGAACAAGGTACTTTCTCTCCTTGTGTTGGGAAGGAATGGAGGCCAGCCTACATGATCTTGTTGAAACACTTAGATGCCATGCATCTGTCCCCCTTTGATATTGGGCATTTTAAAGCAATTTGGAGATAATATCTTCTACACCTGTTTCATATGCTTTGTAGGAATTTCAAAGACATCTGAGAAATACCCATGTTTGCCATTTCTCCTTCTGTATTCTTGGTTTATAATAAAGAATATTCTATTTTGGGAAGGCACATTTGTTTGTGTGCATGTGTGTGTGTGTGTGTGTGTGTGTGTGCGCGCGCTCACGTGCGCGCATATGTAAAGAGTTTCCAAGCAGTAACCTGGAGTAAACTCTCCCAGGTAAGAGGAGCTGGTCTGTTGGGTAAGGTTCTAGTGGGGGTTGGCAGGGGCTTTCAGACAGCTGGGGCCTTTCTTACTGGCTCAGGCCTCAGCAGGGCAGCAGGCATATCCAAGAGCACTGGCCTGAGCTCCAGATGCTTACGGCCTGTTTCCTCTTGCCAGGCTGGGTCTTTTTTGGATTGTGCCGTATCCTGGGTCCTGGCTCCTCCAGTGGGCACGGACTGCTCTTCTAGGCTCTGAGGGGTCTGAAGGACCCCACTGTCATCCCACATCTCCTGAGGACTCAGCTGTTCCAGATGTCTTCCTTGGTCATATTTGTGTCAGACAAAGCTACTGATCTATTTTTGAAGGAAAATATACTACTATTTCACTGTTCAATCTAGAATTTTTAAATTTTGTTTGGTTTTTGAGACAGGATCATGCTATGTATTTCAGACTGGCCTTGAACTCACTGTGTAGCCCAGGCTGGCCTCAAACTTGCGGCACTCCTCTTGACTCAGCCTCCAAGTGCTAAAATTACATGTATGCATCACAACTCCCATCTCAATTTTGAAAATACAAACAAACAACCAAAAATTCTGGCCATAATCCTAATCCCAGAGACAAACTCCAGTGCCATGTCAGAGTTCTGAGGCATTGGTGGCTGCAGCTTTCCCTAGTGGTTCCTGGGGCACCTGCCTGCTGTGGGCTCCCTGGCCTGGCTCCTGACCTTTGGGCACATCTGGGAAGGCTCTGTTTATCACAGCAGTCCTGAGGCAGGACTTTCCCCTCCATTTGTCCCTGGCAACTTCTCCAGTATCTGCCTTGTGCCATCCACATCCAGGGAGATGGACTTGGGTTTATTGCCATTGGGAAGATTCACTGCTGTAATTTCCAAAGACAAAAGCAGGAAGTTTTGGAGAGTAGCAACAAAGTTACAATACAGAAGGGCAATTCGGTGTGAAAATAGATTTGGACTTTGCCACAAGTCAATGACAAGAGAGAGAAACACAGAGAGGGATTTCCTGCAGATTATGTAAGACATGAGTCACAACAAGAAGATGTACTAGTATAGGATGACTTTGTTAGCTTGTGATTTAAACAGACCAAGTGCAAAAAAATGATCTCAGGTCAAGATTAATCCAGAATTTACAGTGATCCTCCTCTTATCCATGGAGCATATGTTCTAAGACTCCGGGGGATACCTGAAATTGCAGAAAGTGCCAAACCCTATATAGTACCATGTTGATACCTTGATTTGAGTCTCATAACCAATGCAGTTACCAAGTGACCAACAGGCAGGTAGTGTGCACGTCACAGATACATTGGACAAAGGGGTACTTCCTGCCCAGTTCAGGAGAAATAGGGACAGCGAGAGATTTCATCACGCTACTAGAATGATGGTCAACTAAAAGATCAAAAATTGTTTATTTCTAGAATTTCCCACTTAATATTTTCAGACCAAGGTTGATTGTGGGTAAATAAAACTGCAGAAGGGGAGATTGCAGTTAATTAGGAATTCTATGTAAAAAAATAACCCTATATAGTTCAACAACAAAAAGTCAATATGATTTAAAAAATGGGCAAACAACTTGAACAGATATTTCTCCACAGAAGGTGTACAAATGGAAAATAGGTACACGAAAAATGCTCAACATCAGTAGCCAGGGAAATCCAACCAGAAACACAGTAAGATAGATACCACATCACACCCATTAGGATGGCTACTATCAAAAGTCCAGAATACAACACATGTTGGTGAAGATAAAAAGAAATTAGAATGTTGACCAGCGAGGCATGGTGGTGCACACCTGTAATCCCAGTACTCAGAAGGCTGAGGAAGGAGGATCACTGTGAGTTTGAGGCCAGTTTGGCCTACATAGTGAGTTCAAAGCCAGACTGAACTACATAGTGACACCCTGTCTCAAAAAACCAAACAAAAAAAAAATCATTGTGCAATTTTCTTAGGGAAAGAAGCAGGTCCTCAAGAAATTAAGGGGATTGTCATATGATCCAGCAATTCCACTAATCAGTACATACCCCAAAGAATTAAAAACAAGGTCTTGAAGAGATACATGTATACTCTTGCTTGTAGCAGTTTTATTCAGAGTGGCCAAAAAGGTGGAAGCAACCCAGTGACTATTGACCAATGAATGGATAAACAAAATGTGGTGTATACACATAATGGGTATCATTCAGCCTTTGAAAGGAAGGGCACCCAGCATATACTGCAACATTAATAAACCTGGTACTAAGTTCAATAGGCCAAATGAACAAATGCTGTATGATTCTGAGGTCTCTAGAGTAGACAAATTCAAAGTAAAATGGTGGTTGCCAGGGCCTGTGGAATGGAGGAATGGGGAGCTATTATTCATTGGATATACAATTTTTGTTTTTCAAGATGAACAGAGGTCTGGAGACTGGTTATACAGCAATGTGAATATACACAACACTCCTGAAGTGTATGCTTAGAAATGATTAAAGTAGTAAATTTTATGTCATCTGTATTTTGACACAACAGAAAAAGAGATATTCTGAGAATAATTAGAGAAATTTGGGTATTTGGTGATGCCCAAAAAGTATTACAGATTTTCTTAAATATGACAATATCATGGGCTGGGGATGTAGCTTAGTGGTGTCGCGCCTGCCTGGCAAGTGAAAGATCCTGAGTTTGATCCCCGGCCCCCCCCCAAAAAAAGACAATATCATAGTAATAATATATTTTTTAAAATTTCCATATCTGTCCTCAACCAATTCCAAAGTATACTGGTATGAAATGACTGATGTTTTCAAATATCTAAGCAACTTATGAGGGAAAAAATTCACAGTATATATGACATAAATGTGACCATTATTAGTAGTTGCTAAATTGGGGGTTTATTTCATGTCTCAATATTTTTTTCATTAAATTCTTTTATTGGTACATTTTAGGTACACAACACAATTACATTTCTCATTGGGAATTGTACCTTTACATAATGCATCTTGGTTCTTATTTTTTCCCCATTC